GACCTCAAGAGCGCTGCCTGGCCGCTCGCAATCTCCTTTGCAAAACGGAGGGCAGGCAACTCACCGTTTGGAGGAAGGTTTATTTATTTATTTTTTAATTTATTTAACTTTAGAGAGAGAAAAAGAGAGAGGCAAAGAAACATCGATTTGTTGTTCCTCTTATGGATGCATCTGTTGTTGATTCTTGTGTGTGCCCTGACGGGAGATCCGCCCTGCAAACTTCTAACCCAATGAGCTACCTGTCAGGAGACCACACTGCGTCCAGGAAAAGATACATTGGAAGTTAAAGGGGAGAAACAATGGAGAGAATGGAGAAATGAAAGAGAGCGAATTTGTGGATATTTTTCATTACCTTTTAAGTGGAATAAATAATACGTATATACATGTGAGTCATAAAAAATACTAGTAGAGTGAACCTACAACTCGTCTAAGAGAGTAGGAAGTTACCGTAACAGGGACATATGTAAAAATAACTCAAAATTGAAGGCCAGTTAAAGAGCTTCACAAATAAAAAAAAGCGAAAGGAGTTCATTACTGCCAAACCAGAATTATATGAATTGCTAAAGGGGGTTCTTTAGGAAGAGGAAGAAAATAAAGATAAAAATTATGAACAAATACGTAACTATCAAGTGAATCTGAAAAACAAGGGAATTAAAAAATCTCTTGAACAGCCAAAACCAGTTTGGCTCAGTGGATAGAGCGTCGGTGTGTGGATTGAAGGGTTCCGGGTTCGATTCCGGTCAGGGGCATGTACCTTGGTTGTGGGCACACCCCTGGTGGGGGGGTGTGCAGGAGGCAGCTGGTCGATGTTTCTCTCTCATCGATGTTTCTAACTCTCTATCCCTCTCATTTCCTCTCGGTAAAAAAATCAACAAAATATATATATTTTTTAAATCTCATGAACAAGGAGAGAAGCCAAGATGGCGGCGTGGGTGGGCGGCTGGTCTGCTGCTCCCACAACAATTTGGGAATTGAAACTGGTATGAAAGACATCTATCATTCAGAGCCGCAGGAAGGAGGTACTGGGTAGTTAATAGTCAACAATTAACATGATAATGGGAGCAATGAGGGACCGATGGGGCTCTTAAAATGTGACCAGCTGGAGAGATGGAAGAATGGCAGGCCCTGAGCAGCTGGGCCCGGAGCAGGAGCAGCCAGGCCTTGAGCATCCAGGCCCGGAGCAGCATCCGAGCCCGGAGCAGCCAGGTCCGGAGTGTTGTGGGGTCAAACCCTAGGTTCAAAATGAAAGGAAAGGAGCAATGCAGCCAATTCGGGTGCCAGAGTGTTATGTCCGTCATCACAGTGGACTCAGAGAAGCTCCTGTGTCCCTTCACCCAAAAGGACTGAGAGTTGCCCAGACGACAGCAAAGTGGGAGAACAAAACTGAAGGCTACGCAAGGGACTGAGGTGCCAACATGGAGTCATCTGAAGAAATTAAAGACTGAAGTGGAAGCTACTTCTTTAATCATGTTCCTGCTCATGCTAGCATCTGTTAGCTTCCGTCTTCTGCAAAGTCTTGTGCAGCAAATCCAAGGACTCTGAGTAAATCTACACCAGCAACAAAAGAGACTCATTTAGTAGCTAAAAATATTAATGTGTCCATAATTCCGATTTCTCATTTTGTTGTTTTGTATTGGCATTGTTGTTATTATTTAATAGACAGAGTTTTGCTCTTGACATTCAAGTTTTGAAAATAACACGTATGTAATTTAGTTTTTGCATTGGCATTGTTTGCAATTGTTTTTAATTTTAGAGCCCTAGTATTACTTTTTAAATTTTATTTTAATTAGTAAAAATGGGTGAGATGTAGAGAGCTGCCTGAGAAGGCACATGGACATTCTTTTAATTCTTATCAGCTGAGCCCGAGGGCACTGGCAGAATCCTCTTATCAGTACTGATTTCTTAATCCATGTGCTTGGAATGAGGAACAAATATGACCTTGACTCACCCAGGTCTCAATATGCTAAATCTTGTACCAAAAAATAAGGAGCTTACCCAGATTTTGATGAATAGGATCTGGGCACACCTGAAACTCCTTTTGGCCTAAACTCCCCTTTGAAAGCCAATAAAAAATAAAATAAAAAATAAATTAATAAAATAAAATAAAAACCAAGGGAATTAAAAAACCTGATGAACAATATTAACTGTTGAATATAATAGAATCAGAGGTATGGAAGGGGAGTGGACTGACTATTCTCGGGAAAAGGGGAGTAGGGGAGAGGGGGATGCGGGAAGACACTGAACATAAACTGTGCACCTATGGATGAGGACAATGGGGGGTGGGGAAAGGGCAGAGGGTGGGGTGGGAACCTGGTGGAGGGGAGCAATGGAGGGGAAAAAAGTGAGGAACATTTGTAATAATATGAACAACAAAGATTTATTTAAAAAAAAAAAAAAGTTGCTGAGACCCGTTTGGCTCAGTGGTGGAGCATCGGTCTGTGGGCTGAAGAGTCCCGGGTTCAATTCTGGTCAAGGGCATGTGCGTTGGTTGTGGGCACATCCCCAGTGGGGGGTGTGCAGGAGGCAGCTGTGGTTGATGTTTCTCTCTCGTCGACGTTTCTGGCTCTCTATCTCTCTCCCTTCCTTTCTGTAAAAAAATCAATAAAATATATATTTAAAAAAAAAAAAGTTACCATGTGTCCATTCAGCACCTTGAACGCACAGGGAACTAGGTGACCACTGTCCCTCAGAGAGCCTGGTGGGATTCGCCTGGAGTGTGGTATAGGCATTTGGATTTTTTGTTTTGTTAATACATTTTATTGATTTTTTACAGAGAGGAAGAGAGAGGGACAGAGAGTCAGAAACATCGATGAGAGACAGAAACATCAATCAGCTGCCTCCTGCACCTCCCCCCACCATGTGCCCGCAACCAAAGCACATGCCCTTGACCGGAATCGAACCTGGGACCCTTCAGTCCACAGGCCTATGCTCTATCCACTGAGCCAAACCAATTACTACTGGATTTAAAAAAAATTTTTTTTTAGGACATCTGCATTTGTTGTTGTTATTATTTTTTAAAAAGCCATCAAATACCTTTATTTTTTCTTTCTTTTTTTATTAAGGTATTATATATGTACATATCTTACCAATCCCTCCTCCCTGTTGTTATTATTCATTCTCACCTGAGGATATTTTTCCATTGCTTTTTAGAGAGAGTGGGAGAGGGAGAGATAGAGAGAAACATCAATGTGAGAGAGACACATGGATTGGTTGCCACTTGCACATGCCCGGACCAGGGGAAGGATGGAGCCTACAGCTGAGGTACAGAATCGAACCCGGGACCCTTCAGTCCATGGGCTGTCGCTCTATCCCCTGGGCAAACCAGCCAGGGCTGGGGCATCTGCATTTTTAAAATCTCCCTGATCAGGGAGAACCACTGATCAGGGAGGTGGAATCAGGCCTGAGCACTAACTTACCTTCTCTTCCCTCCTTTACCCCAGATGTCCCCACCCTCCCCTTGGTCTCCAGGTAACCGCCATCCTCCCTTCTTCCTTCCTGGTTCCCAGGACCAGCGACGTTTGCGATGAACCGCCCGCCCACCACCAGGCGGCGCCAGAGAAAACTCGGCCCTGGCGGCCGGATCGCGCGGGAAGCCGCTTGGCCCTCGCGGGGTCCCGTCGCCGGCGCGTCGCCCGAGCAACGAGCGGGGAAACGGCCGGCGGGGAGGCGCGGCCGGGACTGGCAGCCAGTTAGTCGGGGCCTGCGGGAGCTCGGACCCGGGACCCTTGGGGAACTGCGGGCGCGGAGAAACGTGAGTCGGGGCGTGGGCTCGGCCGGGGGCGACGTAGAGGCAGGACTGCCGGGGCCGAGCGCGCGGCCCGCGCCGGCGGGAACCCCGCGGGCATCCGGCCGCGAGCGCGGGGCGCCTGGACCCGGCCTCCCCACTCCCGCTCCCGCCGCGCCCGCACCCGGCCTCCCGCTCCCGCTCCCGCCGCGCCCGCACCCGGCCTCCCCGCTCCCGCCGCGCCCGCGCCCGGGACCCCCGCTCCCGCTCCCGCCGCGCCCGCACCCCGCACCCCCGCGCCCGCTCCCGCCGCGCTCCGGCCTGCGCTTCTCCGCCGCCTTCGGTCAGTGTGCACGCTGAGGCCGAGAGAGGATGCGCGGTTGCGGAGCCGCCCGGCTTGTTGGTGGCCCATCCGGAGCCGGTGCCGGTGCCTTGTTTCCCGCGCCGAGCGCAAAGGAGCCCCTCGCGCCCGCCGGGGCGAGAGGACAGCAGGGCAGCCTGCCGGCTGCGGGCGGAGATGTTGCTCCCGGGTCCGAGGCTCGGCGCGGAGCGGGCTCGGCTTTCTCCGAGGACGGCGCTTAAGCAGGCCCCGCCGCCCGCAGACCTGCCCTCCCAGGGAGCGAGGCGGCTCCCAGGCCTCCCCGGCCGCAGCGTCTCCATCCGTGTGCCCTCTCCCCGGCCGCAGCGTCTCCATCCGTGCGAGGAGGGTCCGCCCTCCGGGAACCCAGAGCACTTCCCGTGTGCCGCCCGCGCTGGGCCCGGCCCCCGTCCCCCCCGCGGCGGAGGAAGCTGGGCTGCTGGTCTCAGACCGACAGGATTTAGTCCTTCCATGTCCTCTCTCTTGCTTGGTGATCTCTCTGAACTTAAGGTTCCTCCCCTGCTACATGATGGGTGACAGTAATGAAAGAGGCTTATGTATGTACCAAGGGCTGGGCACAGAGGCTGTTCTGGAAGTTACAGCTCCTTCATGCAGAGTGCCGGTGTGCCTGGCCCGGCCGGCACTGCCAGGACTGGCTCCCTGTGCGCAGTGCCCGGGGGTGTCTGCACCACGCTGGGTCAGTGCAGCTTATTTAAACCACGAGGACAGATGGGTAACACTGCTGAGGCCGGGCCCACACGGAGTCTTGGGTTTAATTGGTTTGGAGAGGGCCTGGGCTCCATCTCCTGATTCCCGTGTGCAGCCAAAGGGTGAGGACCCCTCCCTGAGGGATGAAGCCAAGCTGAGAGGGCTCCTGGGCTGGCAGTAAGCTCACTTTCCTGCCCCTGCTGTTCCCAGATGGCACTGCCCACGCTGCCCTCCTCCTGGTGCAGCCGGAGGTTCCTGGACCAGCAGGCAGCGCGGCAGCGACGCCGAGAGCAGGAGGCCCGGCTGCGGCAGCAGTGGGATGCGAACAGCCGCTACTTCAGGATCTCCACCGTCTGCAGCGCCAAGCTGGCCGAGTGGAGCTCCCAGGCCTCCTACCAGCGGAGGTAACTGCGACGAGATCCGATGGAGGTGGCGGCCGCTTGCTGGCCAGGGGATGGCGTCTTAGGAACCTGGGAGAATATGGCCGGATCGCATGTTTTCTCCATGGAGCTGCTGGACAGCACAGATTGCCTGCCTGGCGGTTTTTCCCAATTGGAAAAAAGATAATCAGTGAGGCAATATATCTGCACTGAAAAAAAACGACAAGTGTATGTAGAGCCTGGCTGGTGTGGCTCAGTGGTTGAGCATCGACCTTTGAACCAGGAGGTCACAGGCTCGATGCCCAGGAGAGGGTGTGCAGGAGGCAGCTCATTGATGATTCTGTCTCATCATTGATGTTTTTCTTTCTCTCCCTCTCCCTTTCTGAAATCAATAAGAAATGTATACAAAAAATTTAAAAAGGGAAAGAAATTTATGTAGAATCTGGAAGTCTCCTTTAACCCCATGTCCCCAGCCTGATTGCATATCCTCCCATACTTTTTCCCATTAGTGTTTGTGTATAAATATATACACACATGCACCTATTTTTGTAAAATACTAGAGGCCGGTGCACGGATTCGTGCACTGGTGGGGTCCCTTGGCCTGGCCTGTGGGGAGCCCTCCTCTGGGTCCGGTGCAGGTGGAGCAGATTCAGGGCTGACAGTGCCCCAGCAGCAACCTAACCCATGGCTGATTCTGCGCAGAATCAGGCTCCCTCCTCCACTGGAGGGTCTGCCCTCTGGAGGTCATTGTGCGTCATAGCTACCAGCCAAACGGTCAGATAGTCGCTTAGGCTTTTTGTGTGTAGATGTGTAAAATTATGGAAGTTAAAAGCAGAGGCTTCGGAGTCCGACAGACCTAGATAGAAATCCTGTGTCTTGCTGCTTGAGTGAGCCTCAGTTTTCCCGTCAGTGAAGTGGGGCTGAAACGCTGAAGGACGTATGTGATGAACCACCGTGGTTTATCATGGTAACTGCTCAAGTAATATTGGCCAGTACCGTTACCATGTGCACATGTGAGCGTATCACACACTTCCTCATTGCAAGCACAGGTGCCGTTAGGCCTGCTGTGCTGTGACCTGCTCTGTCAACTGGCAGGAGGGCCCCTCCCATGCCACCCTGTTAGCGCCTCCTCACCGGGAGCAGTGACAGCCCGGCTGCTCACGCCTCCTTCTCCCCCAGCATGCACGCCTACCAGCGCGAGAAGATGAAGGAGGAGCAGCGGAGGCAGCTGGTGGCCAGGCGGGAGAGACTCCAGCAGCTCCTGCTGGAGGAGCAAGACCTGCTGGCCAGAGAACTGGAGGAGCTGAGGCTGAGCATGAACTTGAGGGAGCAGAGAATTCGGGAGCAGCACAGGAATCTCAAGTCAGCCCGGGAAGAGCAGAGGAAGCTGGTGAGTTCTCGTCGCCTCGCAGCACCCCAGCCGGTCAGCGAGTGCGTGCGGGTCACCCTGGGCGCTCGGGACGGACGCGATGGCCAGGAAAGGGCTTAACTCTGCGCTGCTTTCACTTGTGTGTTTTGCGTGAGTCATCTTTGTCCTCCTGGCCCTTTAAATCATCCCCTCTTAGTTCTTTGTCTTTATTCCAGTTCTGTGGCCACGAGGCCTGGGACTGTCTGTATTCTCTCCCAGAGCAGCTGAGGGGGGTGAGCTGTGTGTGTTGTGAAGCAGACCTGCAGCATCCAGGACCCTCACGTAACGTCAGGTCTGACACCTCCGTCACCGCCGTGGGACATTTGTCCGTGCCGTGCGGGTCCGCTCGCTGTCTGGCTCCGGAGCCGGGGCTGAGGCGGTGCAGTGACAGCGCCCTCCCAGGGCGGGTTATCGGAAACTGCTGGTCTGAAAGCCACACCAGGCTTCCCTCTGTGTTTCCCTGACAGATTGCAGAGCAGCTGTTGTATGAACACTGGAAGAAGAATGACCCCAAACTCCGAGAGGTGAGACCGCGGGGAGCCTAAGCAGCTGACCCGCGGGTCTGGCTTGTTCTAGTCGCGTCTGTGCGGGGTTGAGGCAGGAGGGAGCACTCAGCCCGGGAGGAGCCCAGCAGATCTGGTTCAGTTGCTGGCTGAACCCCTGTTGCTGCCCCTGTTGTGATGTCACCTGTGCAGGCGAGAGGCGGCCCCGCTCCCACGGGGAGCCCTGGGCAGCCGCTCCAGGCGGGAGTGGGAGCTTCAGGTCAGGCGGGCGTCCCAGTGGAGCCGCTGGTGGAGGCGTTAGAAGGACACGGTGTTAACTTGCTGGTGCAGAGAGGAAGAGCGGGTTCTGGATTGAGGCCACGGTGTGAATGAGGCCTGAGTGCCGAGAGCAGGGCGAGGCCAGTGCTGGGCTGGGGGAGGCGCGGGGGAGCCCCAAGAGCTGAGGCTGGTGAGGCAGGGGGCCAGACCTGGGCAGCCTTGTGTGCTTCCCCTGGAAGCATGGGGAGCCCTGGGTGGTGGTAAGCGGGTGCAGCGCCATCAGCTGCATTTGGGGAGCAGTAGCTCAGGCAGCAGTGTCTGGGGTGGGAGGAGGTGATGCAGTTGGGGCCTAGGTGAGTGCTGTGAAGGCCTAGACCAGGGGGACACAGGACAGATCTGGGCTCTGGAGGCGGAGGGGGGCGGCCGTCCAGCGGAGATGGCCGGAGGAGCTAACCCGTCGCTGGCCTCCGCTCTCGCTGGCAACTGTGCGTGTGGTGTGTCATGTCTGGCCACAGCACACGGGGAAGCCGCCAGTCACCAGGAGGGGAGCCTCAGCGCTTTGGAAAGTGCTCAGCGCCCCAGGGGAAGTCTCTGCTCCGGCCGCTGTCGGCTTCGTGGCCCTCCAAAGCCATTTGCTCAGAAAAGCTTATTGAGGACATTTAGTTGCAAATGTCCATATTTGTAAGCTGAGAAAGAACATTTAAATTTTATTTTAAAAATACATTTTATTGATTTTGTACAGAGAAGAAGGGAGAGAGATAGAGAGTTAGAAACATCAATGAGAGAAAGTCATCGATCAGCTGCCTCTTGCACCCCCCCCCCCACTGGGGATATGCCCGCAACCAAGGTACATGCCCCTGACCGGAATCGAACCCGGGGCCTTTCAGTCCCCACGCCGACACTCTATCCATTGAGCCAAACCGGTTTTGGCGAACATTTAAATTTTTATAAACAGTTTCCCAAATAACGCTTTTGGACAGAGTGCTGTAAATTCATTTTCTGATCCAAACGACTCTGTAAACCCGAATCTCTGCCTAACCACGCAGACAGTGCGTGTGCCACCTGCATCCACAGCGGCGGCTCTCGGGCCCTCACCTGCTCCTGCTGCCGGGTCCGGGGCTTTAGGCCAAACAAGTGGCCTTGAGAGGGTGTTTCCATTCCAGCAGGTGCTGGCCGGCCTGCTGACTCCAGGGAACTGGGAGAGAAGTCTCTGTTACTTTGTTCCAATCTTAAAATTAGTTCAGAACTCTGGCCCTTTGGTTTTCTTTCTTTCTTTCCTTTTTTTTTTAAAAAAAAAATTTTTTTTTTATTATTGATTTCAGAGAGAAAGGGAGAGGGAGTATAGATAGAAACATCAATGATGAGAGAGAATCATGGATCAGCTGCCTCCTGCACACCCCACTCGGGGGTCAAGCCTGCAACCTGGGCCTGTGCTCCCTCACCAGACCCCGGGGCCACCCGCGTCCCCACCAGAGGAAGGCACGGTCACGTTTCGGGGCCGCCCCGGCTCCCGGGAACATCTGCTGGTGACCTGAGAGGAAGCTGACCATCTGCTCCTTCTCCTCAGATGGAGTCGGACCTTCACAAGCAGCACGTGATCACCTCCTGGCAGACACAGAAAGAAGAGAGAAAGCAGGTGGGGCTGGGACTCCGGAACCGTCCCAGGGTGATAGTGGAGCCGGTCTCCGTGTCTTAGAGTGCTTTGTTGAGGCCTCACCCACCCATCCCCGCTGCGGTGCCCAGCACTGCACCAAATGCTCCCCAGCCTCGCCCTCGGAAACAGGAGTCAGTCCGCGGCCCGCGAGCACGCGCGCAGGGCCACTCAGCTGAGGGGCGCCGCGGTGGGGGCGCGTGGGGAGGGGCCCCGGCCGGCCGCCGGCTGCAGGGACTGATCCCGATTCGTTTGGCCCCGTGCAGCAAGAAGCCGTGGAGCAGGAGGAGAACGAGCGGCATGAGAGTGAAGGTGAGGCGGCCCGCAGGGAGGCCCTGGGACGGATGGAAGCGGAGGAGGCGCGGAGGCAGCTGGAGGGCAAGCTGCAGGCGGAGGCGCTGCTGCAGCAGATGGAGGAGCTGAAGGTGCAGGAGCAGGAGGTGGGGCACCCACTGGCCGCCCCCGGCTGCTTGTAGAACGGGTGTCTCTGCTGCTGGGCAGAGGTCACCCGGGGGATTCTCAGACATGCAGAGTGTTTGCAGCTGTCTGCGTTCTCACTCCTACGTCGGATTGTGTGCGCATCCTAGAAGGTTCGCCGTGCGGCGATGGCTGTTCTCCGCTGTGCTTCGGGTGCTGTCTGAGCCTTAGAGCTCGGTGCTCCCGGCACCGAGTGAACCTGGCTCAGTGGGATGTCCTGGCCCACGCTCCCTGGCTGGCAGGCTTTGGCTCTGCAGGCACAAACTGTGAGGGTCTGTGGTCCGAGGGCTGTTTGAGAACGGTGTGCACTTCCCTGAGGGGGTGGGACCGTCTCATCAGAGTGGGGAGACCCCTTCCCCAGGCCTGAAAGGGGGAGAACCGGATCTTAGCGCTCATGAAGACTCTGGTGCCAAACCCTGGGCTGGCGCTGGAGGGTCAGCTGTGGGCGGCCCAGACCTGGGCTCCGGGGCGGGTCCGGGGCGGCGGGTGGTGGGCTGCCTGAGGCGAGGGCAGTAGAGGGCAGAGGGCCCGTGGAGCTCAGCGGGGGCTCTTCCTCGTCCACAGGGCTGGCAACGGCTCTTGTAAGAAACGGCTCCTCTGAGGTGGGTGGTGAGTGAGCTGAGCTGCAGCAGGGGCTCGGGTGGGAGGGCTAGATCCCAGGTGGCCAGGCCGGCCCTCGGTGCAGAGGTCTGCTGGGGACGGAGAGGAGGGTGAAGGAAGCTGCGTCTCCTGACCTTCCTGGAGCGCTGTCCTGTGACCACAGGCCGCCAAACTGAAGAAGGAACGGGAGAACCTGCTGAGGCAGCGGTGGGAGCTGGAGCGGCTGGCGGAGGAGCGGGAGCAGATGGCGGCCCTGCGGCAGAAGGCGGAGCTGGGGTGCGTGGGGAGGGCGCGCCCGCAGCCGCGCGCTCGCTCGCTCTCTATCTCTCCTTCCTTCCTTCCTTCCTTCCTTCCTTCCTTCCTTCCTTCCTTCCTTCCTTCCTTCCTTCCTTCCTTCTTTCTTTCTTTCTTTCTCGCTTGGGAACGGGAAGGATGCACCCTTTGGCTAGTACCTGTCTAACTTCGTTTAATTCTTCTTCTTTTTTTTTTTTTTTTTTTTAAACACATTTTATTGATATTTTACAGAGAGGAGGAAGGGAGAGAGATAGAGAGCTAGAAACGTCGATGAGAGAGAAACATCATCCAGCTGCCTCTTGCACACTCCCTACTGGGGATGTGCCCGCAACCAATGTACATGCTCTTGACCGGAATCGAACCCAGGACCTTTCAGTCCGCAGACCAACGCTCTACCACTGAGCCAAACCGGTTTCGGCTAACTTCGTTTAATTCTTGATAAGACACTGAAGGCAACCTGTGTCTTGTTCTCTTTTAGACGTTTTTTGAGACATCAATATAACGTGCAGCTCAACAGACGCGCACAGCAGATCCAAGAGGAACTGGTGAGTCTGGAGAGACAGCCGGCGTTTCTCTCGCTCTGAGAGTTTCCGTGACTCAGTAAGAAGTAAAGGCAGTGAGAGCCCGGCCCCCGCTGCCGCCTCCGCCCTCCCCACAGGGCGCTGCCTGGCATGTGCCCTCGGAGGTGTATCTACACACGGGCACACGGAGGCGGTGGGTTAAAAGCTGCGCTCCTCGCTGTTCACTGATGACCTGACGGCAGCGCTCCCGCTCTGTGATGAGGGTGCTTGGGCGGAGCGTGTTCTGTGTCCCAGCCGCCCGGGTCCCTGTCACCCTGGGTCCCTGCCGCCCCGGGTCCCTGTCGCCCCGGGTCCCTGCCGCCCCAGGTCCCTGTCGCCCCGGGTCCCAGCCGCCCTGGGTCCCTGTCACCCCGGGTCCCTGCCGCCCCAGGTCCCTGTCGCCCCGGGTCCCTGTCAGATTCTGATGGGCCGCCTCCCTGTGAGGGACGGGCGCTGGCTCCCACCCGCCTGCCGTGTCCCTGGCAGCGCCCTCCGCTTCCCGCTGAGGGCTTTCCCGGCTGGGGCCTCCAGTTGCTCCTCCTCCACACCCTCCCACGTGTGGGTGACATAACAGCTGCCGCCCTCCCCGGGGGGTCGGCGTTGCTTCCGGTTTTCCCTCCTCGGGAGGCTGCAGGCCTTTTTGCATAAACCTCCGCACAGGTGCGTCTGTGGTCTGTTCTTAGGAGTGGGATTGCTGTCAGTGTGTGTCCTCAGGCTGAGTGTGTGGCTGAAGGGGGGACCTGCGGTGGTGGCAGAGGCTCTCCCTGGAGGCCGAGAACCACTCCTGGGCCTCTGGCGTGGGCTTCAGCCATCCCAGCCTCTCCCACCCGCTGTGGACAACATGTGGCAGCATCTGCTTTCTTTTAAAAAATATATATTTTATTGATTTTTTACAGAGAGGAAGGGGGGGAGAGAGCTAGAAACGTCGATGAGAGAGAAACATAGACCAGCTGCCTCCTGCACACCCGCCACCGGGGATGTGCCCGCAACCAATGTACATGCCCTTGACCGGAATCGAACCTGGGACCTTTCAGTCCGCAGACCGACACTATCCACTGAGCCAAACCGGCTTCGGCAGCATCTGCTTTCAGTGCGGGCGGGGCCCAGACAGCAGAGGGTCCGCCCGCACCCACAGGCCGCCGCCTCCCTCCGCCCCTCCAGGAGGCGGACAAGCGCATCCTGCAGGCGCTCCTGGAGGAGGAGGAGACCCAGCGGGAGCACTCGGCGCTGCGGCGGGAGCAGGCCCGGGCGGACGCGGCGTGGATGCAGCAGGTCCTGGAGCAGCAGCTGCAGCGGGAGCGGGAGCAGGAGGCGGAGCTGCAGACGCTGCTGAGGTGAGGCGGCGGCCGGGGGCGGCCCCGCTCTGCCCTGGTCCCAGCGGCCTCCACGAGGGTCTGTCCTGACACGCCTGTCCGGGGTCAGGCCCTCGCTTGTGGGTGTTTCCTTCAGGTCAGGACAGTGGTCAGCAAGCCGCAGCTCAAGAGCCACATGCGGCTCTTTGGCCCGTTGAGTGTGGCTCTTCCACAAAACACCATGGCCTGGGTGAGTCGATTTTGAAGAAGTGCCATTAGGAGAAGTTTTAAGTTTAAGAAATTTGGCTTTCAAAAGAAATTTCAATTGTAGTAGTGTTGATATTTGGCTCTGTTGACAAATGAGTTTGCTGACCACTGGGTTAGGAGGAAAATCATTAGCATTTAAAGTATGGATCTGCTCATCTGAAACTAGCATTTGGAAGGAAATTGTTCTCCGAGGAGATGTTGCACGCCTAAAAACGAGCCTAGTGGATTGAAACGAACAACCGGCAGCAGTTCTTGAGCACGAGGGTGCCAGAGCCCCCGCCCAGCGGCAGGTCCTTGAGGCCGGAGACTGGAGGAAGCCCCTCATTTGCACCAGCCCCGGGCGAGCGGCAGGGACCCAGGAGCCGGCCCCGCTCAGGCTCAGCGGTTCCATTGGCGTCCGTGTGGACGTGGCCAGCTGCCTTTAGAACGAGAGGGCGTATTGAGAAGGCCACTGCGAGTCTTGCTGCCGGGACACTGCCTGTGCACGGCCCTTACTGTTAAACGTGCGAGGACAGGCTGATCTGTGCTGCCCGAGGCTTCGGAGCCTGTTTGTCCGTCTGTCCGTCCGTCCGTCCGTCCGCCGCCGTCAGTGGGTAAGGAGCTGCTGCCATGTCTTGTGTTTCCCCAGGGAGGAAGCCAAGGAGATGTGGGAGAAGAGAGAGGCCGAGTGGGCCCGGGAGAGGAGCGCCCGGGACAGGCTGATGGCCGAGGTAATCTGCTGGGGTGTGGCTGGCGGTCCGGCTGGTGGGGGATTAGGGGCGGGGCCAGTCCTCTCTGGCCATTGAAGAAGGTAACACACGCCTGTTAGGAAAAACATCAGCACAGAAAAATGGTCACCAGACCTGCCGTCTCCATAGCCACTGCCCCTGCTTCCTCCCACACTGTCCACACAGCACGTTCCCCTGCGACTTCTGCTTATGCTGTGCGACCTGACTTCACGCATTCTTGCATGCTGTTACATCTTCTTTGTAAATACAATTTTTTTTAATATGGGTTTAAGAAAATATATTTTTATTGATTTCAGAAACATTGATGAGAGAGAATCATTAATTGGCTGCCTTCTGCACACCCCCTATTGGGGATTAAGCCCACAACTCAGGCATGTGCTCTCGACCGGAATTGAACCCGGGGCCCTTCAGTCTGCAGGCTGACGCTCTATCCACTGAGCCAAACCGGCTGGGGCTGTAAATATCATTTTGATGGCTGCATATATATCATCACGTGGCTATACCACAGTTTGTCTTTCCATTCCCCGGTAGTGGGTTTCCACTCTTTTCCTAACTTTGAGCCACTGTAGGATACACTGCAGTGAACATCTTAGTCTGTGGAGCTTGTCCGTACCTAGCATTGTTTTTCTTGGGTGCGGAATCAGAAGTGGACTAAAAGGGTTTTACTTGCCAGTATTTAAATAATGTGTCTTAGACACACACCAGCTAACAGGAATCCTTTGGGGAAAGGCTTCGTGTCCCTGTGTTGTTACTTTAAAGTGGAACCTGGACCGGCTCTCGGCTGGGCTTGCCTTTGGCGAGTTAGGCTCAGCTGGGTCTCGGCACGGGCACCAGCCGCCCACAGCCTGCAGAACAAGTGTCTGCTCAGAGGCTCCCCAACCTCCCTTCCTTCCCGCGGGGCCAGGTCCTGGCAGGGAGACAGCAGCAGATACAGGAAAAGATTGAACAGAACCGACGGGCGCAGGAGGAATCCCTCAGACACAGGGAGCAGCTTATTCAGAACCTGGAGGAGGCCAGAGAGTCAGCTCGGCGAGAGAAAGAGGAGAGTGAAGAACTGAAATCGGCCAGGAAGCAGGAGCTGGAAGCCCAGGTGGGGCCCTCACGCAGGAGCCCCTCAGCGAGGGGGTGGGAGCTGCGGCCACAGGGCCTGCGTGGACCACAGGACTCGGGGCCTTGGCTTGTTTCCCCGCCTGGCACCACTCCCCTAAGAAGCCCTAGTCATTCATCTCCTGCTGGTGCAGTGCCCGCTCCGCTGCAGGCTCCTCCCTGTGGAGCAGACTGCCCACGTCTCCTCCTGTCTGCGTCCGCAGACACTTCGCCCTGGGCCACAGCCCTCCGTTCATTCAGTGACTAGTGGGTAACAAAATCATCGCCCAACACGTGCCGCCCCCAGAGCTGCTTACAAGGCACATATCACCACGCACGCCCTGCCCACCGCTGGCACTTCCCGTCCCTCTCACTCTGCCCTGACTCTCCCGGGGCGGGTCCTCAGCTTCCCTCTGACCGGAGGAGGCGGGGTCTCCTGCGGGCCGGTCTCGGTGACTTACCTGTGTGTCCAGGTGGCGGAGCGCCAGCTGCAGGCCCGGGAGGCAGACCAGCAGGAGGCGGAGGAAGAGGAGGCGGCGAGGCAGGCAGAGCAGCTCACCAGCGCCCGGCTGCAGCAGGAGGCGAGGACGATGGCCGAGCAGGGGTACCGGCCCAAGGTAGGAGCCGCAGGTGACGGCACCGCTGCCAGCCCCTCGGCCAGGCCTGCTCTCCAGGCTGCGCGCACGTGCGGGCTCTGCTCCGGCCGCGGGGCCTGCCTTCTCTCCTCTGCGCTTCTCCTTCCTCTGCAGTGGGCACTGACAGGGCCTGTTTCGGTCTCTGGTGGGGCCTCACACAGCCCCTGAGGTGATTTTGCTTTGGCTCCTCTCGCTGCAGCCCAAGGAGGGAGGTCCTGATGCTAAGCTGACCTGTGGACCCTGTGTGGGGCCAAATAGCATCTTAGTGCTGGCCACAGCCCGAGAGAGGAGAAGGCAGTGGTTTAGGCCCTCACCAAGCGACATCAGAACCCTCCCGTCTTCCCCGCCACTGCAGGACGCCAGTGACCTGCTCTGAGGGCGCTTGCTGAGCCCGGCAGGCCGGCCGCTGCCCTCCCCCTTCCTCTGGGACCCAGTGCTGAGCTCCTTGGTGCCAAACGCTGGGAGCCGGTGAGACCACCAGCAGGCACTCCCCCACTGCCGACGTCACTGTCCTCGCAGGCTGGCTCTGGAGGTGCAGGGGCCGCTTTTCAGACTCCGTGGCCGTGGTCAGTGAGTGCCTCGGGGTCGGGTGCCCCGCGCCCTGACATGTTGCTTAGAGCCGGCACTTTATTTTATTTTTTTTTTTTTTTATTTAAATCAATCTTTATTGTTCATATTATTACAAAGGTTCCTCATTTCTTCCCCCCTCCACCAGGTTCCCACCCCACCCTCCGACCCTCCCCATCCCCCATTGTCCTCATCCATAGGTGCACAGTTTATGTTCAGTCTCTTCTCCCCTCCCTTTCCCCAATAGTAAATCCCTTTTCAGATAGTAAATCAGTTACTTAGCATTTTCTCAAATCAATAATACCTCCACATGCCCAATGATACACTTCACACAAAAGACATTTCCAAATAGGTCAACTAGCCTCATCCAGGCCCCACCCAAGGCACTCACAGATCAACACCCCAGCCCTATACTAACTCCACACATCCAGATCTAAGCCTTCATCACTTGATTCAGCAGACCCTCAAGTTCCCACGAAAGTTTCCAGCCATGTCTGAGAAGCAGCCGTGGGGCAGGGGCAGGCGAGGAGCGAGCTGTTCCAGGCCAGGCTGCTCAGGGCCTGGCCTCTGTTGCTCTGGTTTGTTCCACAACCAGCTGCTCCGGGTCTGGTCACTGCCGCTCCCGACCTAGTTGCTCTGGACTTGGCTGCTGCTGCTCCGGGCCTGGCCGCTCCCAGCCTGGCAGCCGCTACTCCGGGCCTGGCCGCACCCGACCCGGCTGCTCCGGGCCTGGCCGCTCCCAGCCTGGTAGCCGCTGCTCCAGGCCTGGCCGCACTCGACCCGGCTGCTTCGGGCCTGGCCACTCCCGACCCGAGAGCCGGCACTTTAAAACAAGCCAGCAGGTGCCGCCCTGTGGGTAGGGTCGTAGCTGTGTATCCTGTGCTTTCAGCTTTTACTGAACGTGGACCAGTTCCCATTGTTTCAGAGAACGCCCCTCTGATCTGGGTTCCTTTCTGTTTTCAGCCTTACGGACATCGCAGGATTGCTTGGAACTGACGCCCTGGGCACGGGGAGCGGAGCAGAGCTGTGAGGCGTGATGTGCAGCCAGCAGACAGTGTGACCTGCCTGGCTGGTGCTGGTCACTGGAGGAGCTCCGCGAGCTGTTCGGTCCAGGTTAAGTGGACGGAGGGCTGGACAGACTGACGCCGGCGGAGGCCTCCCCTGCCTGTCCCGGGGAGGAAAGGCCCAGGCCACTCAGGCCGTGCAGCCACGGCCCGTCTGCTCCGAGTGACGCAGGCTCCGAGTCCACGAGGGGTTAAGAGCCGTGTTCACGGCGGGACCCAGCGTCTCCTGCCGTCTCGCCCTCGTGGTCAGCTCCAGAGACGCCTCCAGTCAGAGAGAGGAGGGAAGGTGCTTAATTTTTTAAATTGCAATTTAAATGTATCCTATTGAAGACAAGGGGGTTATTAATCTCGTGGTCCCAAAAGGATCACCTCTTGTTTTCTGAGAACTGTGAGCCCTGAGATGGTCTGATGTGGCCCAGGGATGCTTTCTGGAACGGGGCGAGCAGTGCGTCCTGCGGGAGCATTTTGGTGGGATTTCCAATGACACTGTGGCGGGAGGGCGGGATCAGTCACTGAGCCTCAAAGGGCGCTCGGATGGCTCAGCTCTTGAAATGACACTTTGGACCTTTAGTGCCTTAGGAAGGTCTCAGCTCCGCACAGTCTCCGGAGATTTAAGTGCCAGAGGAAGGAGGGGGCACTGACCTGAGGAAATGAGGTCAGACTCAACCACAGACTCCTCTTCCCACGGGTACATCAGTGGGACACTTCTAGATTAACCTGCACTTAGCTACAAGAAGTTCCTTGCAGCACGTTTTATGACTTGCATTTTTTGTTTCTTTCTGTCAAATTTGTTTTCATTATATTGTGTTTAAGAATCCATGTCAGTAAATTATAGCTGATTACTGTTCCGTGTTATTAAACCAGAGTTTATTTAAAACCCTGAGTCAGAGGGCTGCCTCACCTTTCCCTCCCGTGGTGCTACAGAAACAGTGAAGCTGCTTAACCTGTCATTTTCTTGTCTGGAGTTTCTTTGGATCTGATCTGACCCCTTCCCTGCGTGCTCACGTTTACCCCGTCCAGACGGCCATTCCCTGGGAAGTAAAGTTGGGTGCCTGCGTCACTGCCAGGCTTTGGGATTCCTGTTGCTTTTTTTTTTTTTTTTTAATATACATTTTATTGATTTTAGAGGAAGGGGGAGGGAGAGTGAGTGCTCTTGTTGCTTTTATGGGTGCTGCACAGCAGTTGTGTAGGAGGATAGGTTTTACTCACCTCCTCCAGCTCAGCAGGTGTGGGCATTCTCTGTGCCTGTTCGCCTTTTCTGGGTGACGTTCATTTTCCTGGTCCAGAGCGTCACCTCCCCTCCCATTTCCACTGGAGCCTCTTCTCCACGGAATCGGCAGTGTACTGTCTGAGCCCCATCCAGTATAGAACTGATGTGGGTAGAATGCCTGGAAAACCGGCACTCAAAAACTTCCTAAAAATTCAGCTTCTTCAAATTTCTTGTTTTTGAAGCCTACTGGTAAGCTCCCTATCAGCATTAGAAGCTGTCACACTGCCCCAATGTATTCAATGTATTAAATGCCCTCCCTCTAAAGTATGTCTCCTGTCCTGGCCCGTGTGGCTCACTGGATAGAGCATTGGCCTGGGGACTAAAGGTTCTGGGTTCAATTCTGGTCAAGGGCACATGCCCGGGTTGTGGGCTCTGTCCCCGGTATGGGGCATGCAGGAGGCAGCCAATGGTCCTCTCTCATCATTAATGTGTCTATCTCTCCCTCTTCCTCTCCGAAATCGACACAAAGATATAATAAAAATGTTTCCAAATTCAGAGCTTCCACTGTCTTACTTTATTACTCTTATCCAACGGTTCTCAACCTTTAATACAGCTCCTCACGTTGTGGTGACCCCCAACCATAAAATTATTTTCGTTACTACTTCATAGCTAATTTTGCTACTGTTATGAGTCTTAATGTAAATATCGGTGTTTTCCGACGGTCTTAGGCTCCACAGCAGCGGTTCTCAACCTGTGGGTGGTGACCCACCGATTGAGAACCGCTAGCAGGGTCTCCTGGGAAACGGAGATCTGACACAGCCCTTGCTCCAGCCGGGTTGACGATGCCAATGGTTTGGGCACTTTTGCAGTGACTGGCCTTTGCCAGCGTCTGACCTCATGGGGCCTGGCGTCTGGCTTGGTGGCTGGCTGGTCAAGATGGGGACCACAGGGCCTTCCCGGCCCGGAGTCTGGGCCACAGGGACTGGCTCCTGGAGAGCCTTGCACGCCCGCCTGCTGGGCAGCGGTCGCCCTTAGATGGTCACTGAACGGTCCCTGTGGTGAGGTCACCCGCGCAGCCCCAGGGACGGGGAAGTGCTGCTCCAGGTGCTTGGGCACTGACGCTGCAGAGCTCCCAGCGCCCGGGCGGAAGGAGGGCACCGCCTCACTCCAGGCCACAAGCAGACTGCCCGTCTACCCAGGGAAGCCCTGTGCTCGTCACCCCCCCCCAAAGGGCCATGTTCTCTGAGCCGCCTGTCACAGGCTCCACTGGGTGACGCTCACGTGGCCAGTCAAGACCAACGACTAACAGTGACTCACATGCTGCCCTCTTCCCACGAGGGACGTCACCTGGAGCTAAGCGCCCTCGGCTGCGCTCCTGCCCACAGGGTTGTGGTGAGGATTAAAGGAGCTAACCCCGTGGTCGGCAAACCGGCTCGCGGGCCACATGCGGCTCTTCCACAAAGTACCACGGCCTGGGCGAGTCTATTTTGAAGAAGTGGCGTTAGAAAAAGTTTTAAAAATTTGGCTCTCAAAAGAAATTTCAGTAGTGTTGATATTTGGCTCTGTTGACTAATGAGTTTGCTAATCCACTTCAAGAACCCGGCACTGTGTCTGGCGCAAAGTAGTTGATAAATGTAATTAGAATTATTACAAAAACATATTGAAAAGTAGAAATGCAAGGAGCTGCTGGTGGGGAGGGAGCCCTGAAACGGATGGACAGCACTGCTGAGAGCGGCCACGCCCGCAGCACCCCCTGGGGCCCTCCCCACAGCTCTGGGTCTGATGCTGGAGGGTGTCAGGAGCCCTCCGGGGCAGGGGGCTGGCTCGTTCCAAAAGCCTGCCCTCTGAGGAGTTCTGGATGGGCGCTGCCGGCCTGACCAGCTGGCTCTGGGGCCTCAGACAAGTGGATCCCTGAGGACTCCCATCTTCCGTGCACGGCTCGCTCAGGCGCCTGTGGCGAGTCCTGCCCCACCCCTTCCATGTGGGAGAAGAGCCGAATCGCCTCTCCAGAGGACGACTGTTGGGACAGGGTGAACCGGGTGTAAATCTCGTCCCCCCGTGAGCCCGCACAGTGGCCTTGCTCTGAAAGTTAAAGACCAAACAAGCCCACAACCAGCTGGCCTGGGAGGAGGGGAGGGAGCCCGTGCTTGGCCAGCTCTGCCTGGGTTTAACAGAGCTCATCCTGAGAAGACACCGGGGGCTGATACCCCAGGCGGGCTTTCCAGCAAAGCGAGCTGCTAGGACAGAGCAGGAGAAAGGGCACCAGCCCTGCACACAGCGCCGGGCGAAGATCCTCACTCAGTGCTGCCTCAGGACGGGGGGGTGGGTTGAGGTGAGTATTTGATGGGAAACATAGGATTACCACAGAGACAGTTACAGAGCCTGTTTATTGCGTAACTAGCAGGCACAACTTCCAAAACAATTTTACAATGCTTACAGGGTTGTACAATAATTACAGGAATAGAATGTACAATAAAAACGAGAAGTGCAGAAGGAAGGGTGACATGGTAACACACATTTCCATAAAAGGCATCTCAGTATTCCTATGCAGCATTTTCTTTTGTAAAAACAGGGTGACCTTCAACCGGGACGGAAGGAAGATGCTGTGTGAGGAGCTCGCAGCTGCTGTGGGACCACAGGCAGCTTCACCCGGCTCCCAGCCCAGAGGCCTGTGGCCCGGCAGCTCCGAGCTGTGCGTCTGCAGCTCCCACTGCAAGGCGGGCAGTGGGGGTCTTTGGGCCCGACTGCTCTTTGGCAAATCAGAACCATTTGCATTGAGGCAGAGGTGCCTTCAGTTCCAGAGCTCCGGTGGAGCCAAGTGCCTGCTGGGTAAGGGCACCTCTGACCTACGGGCTCTGGGGGAGGGGGACTGAGAACAGGGAGAACATGACATTAGGACAGACATTAGTGCAAGGCTGTGGGACCATGTGCAAAAAGCGGTGAGCGTCGTGCAGACGCAGTGCCGTCCGCCCCAGGACAGAACCTCCCGGGCCTCCTGAGGCTGAGGCTGAGGAACGGGGGTGCAGAGGAGGAAGCCGGCGGCCTCCTAGCACCGTGCGTCTCGCCACCTGGAACTTCTTCCCGGATTCTGGCATCGATGCCCACGGCGAACCCCGCAGTGTTCTTACAACCTCGAGCTCGGACCTCACCGTGCTGGATTTCCTCTGGGGCAGAGCAGCCCTTCACCGCAGGTCGTGTCTGAGGAAGACACCGCTTAGCCCACCGCAGATGACAGTCAGAAACCAGTCCTCCGGGCCACGGTCACCAGCTCCAGATGGCTGCTGGCCCTTCCTGAGGACCCCCGCGCCCAGTGGAGGCGGGCGTTTGCGAGAAGAGGCCAGCTCAGCCTGCAACAGGCAGAGACGGCTTTCCCGCGGGGCGGGGACTGGTCAGGAGCACCCCTGGGCATCGGCGAGCTGGCACTTAGGGTGGCGATCAGCACGTGGACGAGTCTTCTGGAGAATGGACCCTTTCCTCAATGACTCGGTGAGGTGAGCCCGGCAGGAGCGTCCACACAGTAACTGTCCAGCAAACACCCTCAAGGCGCTCCTTTCGTGACAGTTTACGGTCAGACTACAAAGCCGATTGTGAATCCAACAGCTCTGACAGGACAGGCTTGTTCAGCATGCACTGAGGCCACTTGGATAGCTGTGACCTCACGTATGAGGGAGCACTATGGGGCAGAATATTTGGGCAAAGGGAGGAAGGGGTGGCCAAGTACGGGCATGGCTCAGAGGCTAACCCAGGTGGACCAGGGAAGCCCGCCTCGCACCTGTTTGCCGCCTGAGACCAGCGCTCACCCACACGTGCTGTGAAACGTCTGAGCCGTCGCCAGCATTATGAACAGAGATGGCACAGAAACACCCAGATTCCTGGGGTCTTTTGAGAAATAAATGCTCTGGCACCTGGACCCACTTTACACCTGGCAGCCCGAGTGGAGCTGGGGGCTGCTGTGCCCGTCCGTGGGTGTGCCCGGGCCCCCGCTGCCCCTGTGCCCACGCCGCACCTGCTCACCCCTTCTCCTCCCTCACTATGGCCCGGCCTCTGGGCCGGGTCAGAGCTGAGCCCACACAGAGCGGCGGTCAGCAGGCACGGGATGTGCTCGGCACACAGGACAAGGAGGTCTCTAGCTGCGGAGGAAACACCTGACGGTGCCCCAGAGCTGACACCTGTGCTTCCAGAGCTTTGGGGCAGCTGCTAGTCAGCGGAACACTCTCTAAGGAATTCTTGAAAGCTAAGGTCGAACTTGTAAAAAAACATGCAAGGTAGTGAAAAAGAAATAAAACCAGACGACTGTATAACCTTACCTCACAAGAAGTCCTTAAAGGGGACGAGCTATGCGAAGCAGGTCTCGAGAAGGCTTTCCGTGGTCAGAGGAGTAACTGAGTTCTGGAGGAGAGAGAGGTGCCTAGAAGGTCGGGAGCAGAGGGTTTCTCTCCCAGGGCAGTGCCGGGCGGGAGGGTGGCGCCGAAGGAGCAATGGCCGGGGGCGCTGCTCCTGCCGCTGCCCGTGGGAAGGAAAGTCTGGTTCCTGTGATAAGGCAGAGCAGGAGACCACGTGTGATAACATGGCCATTCCCCTACTAGCATGTGGCCAAGTGACACATATGTGGAGGATGAATGCTTATCTGATGCCACAGAGACTTTAGGATGATAGTAAAATAGAAGATCAAGATAGAAAAAGAACATCTCATGATAGAACAGAGAAAAGAAATAGAGCAATTCATTGTTTCCTTCCAAGAGAAATCGTTATGCTATTTTTAGAAAGTGGCAAAGTCCTCTTCATACATGCTTGGAGATACTCCAAACTTAAGAGATTTTTGCAACAAGTTAGAAAATTCACTTATATTGCACAATGCTTGGTAGGGAACAGATAATGTTGGTTTGTTTTTTTTACCCAACTCTCTCAAGAAAATGTTTTACTAAAAAATCTCATTTAGAGTTTTAACACAGGCAGGGGGTTTTAAGGGCTGGATAAATGGTAACGAACTTGCAACAATGAAGCTATGCTTTTGGATGTCCATGATCATGAACTCAACAGTCACTGACAGCACAACAGAACATCAGAAAAACTGGCAAACAGTCACAAAATAAGGCAAGTGGGTTAAATTAATAATTGAAAATTTGTTAGAAAACATGCAAAAATAATACTGAGTTTTTTTTCCAAAAAAGTTTTAAGCTTTCATTAAATGTTTGTTTCTGATAAAAATTGTGAGTTCCACATCTAAATTTGTAACGGGACTTTGAAAAGCCCAGAAAATAACTCAGTTGTTGTTCTCTTTGGTGGTGATGGTGACCAGCTGCTTGGCGGCCTTGGCGATGTCGTAGGCACACTGGATGACCTGCTGGGTGACCAGCTGGATGTCCGAGGGCGGGCTGCAGTCTCCTGGAAGGGCCTTCTTGCATTCTAACTGCAGGCGGTAGGCACTGGATGTCAGCAAGTGGAGGGAAGTCTTCACCGTGTCAGACTTGGGTTTCTAAACAGAAAACAGAGCCCATTGGCCATGAGGTGCAGGTGGACATCCAAGAGTGGAACAAACATCTGAAAACGTCAGCTGCTCCCGGTGAGAGCAGTTTTTCATGCACCTTTCCACGGGGTGCTCAGAGCACTGCACGCTTTGCAACCCCTGGTGGCTGTGAGATGCCAAAGTGCTCTCACTCAAAGGTCAAAGTGCATGCAGTATCATTTTAGTAGGATGTGCTATCCTGAGGTAGGCTCTGAAAAATATTATTCAACTTGGGTAAAATATTCCAGATTTGATTTTATTAATTTTGTTCTATTAATGCTTTGTTTTTATTCTATTAATGCGTTGCTTTTCAGCACTGGGTTCAGACATTCTTGTCTTATTAAAACCAGTGTTCATGTAGAACAAAAATATTTCAATACTGTATCTGACTGTTTACAGATGTGACTCTTTGTGACACAAAAAGAATAATGTATTATTATCAAGGTAATGAAGAAATTTCTTGCAGTTTTTTAAAAGGATCTGAACCAAGTAAGTAGGAAGTGACTTACTTTGGGAAATAACGCTGCCATTTCTGTAACAGCCAGGTGTATCCTCTCTGAGCAGGGACTGTAACTGCAAGAATATTGAAAAGGTTATTCGAAGACAGGAGAATAATTCAGAGACAGAAGCACTCCGGGGCCAGCACGTTCCATGGATGTTCCCTAACGAAGGGGCGGAGGTCGAGGCCAGCCGCTGTGGGGCCCACACAGCAGGAGGCACCTGGTTACAGACAGTCCCCTCTCCTTTCCTGAAAGTCCATCCCATCTGACAAGACAGTCTCCAGGTATGAAGCACAGGCAGCATTGCACCACTGGCCAAGGGAGGCCACAAACAGTCTGCACAGATATTCACACCCTGCAAGCCAGCCATTTACTTCTCACCTTCCCAATTTCTTAAAAACAAAGAAAGGATTTCCATGCAAAAGGCCACAGAAGTTAAAGTATTAAAAAATACTTTAGAATTGGAGCCTGCACCTCAACACTTAAAAACTAACAGACAGCTCAGCTGACTTGGCTCAGTTGTTGGTCATGGTTCAATTCCCAGTCAGGGCACATACCCAGCAGGAGGTAGCCGATCAATGACAATCTCTCATCACTGATATTTCTATCCCTCCCTCTCCCTTCCTCTTTGAAATTAATATAGATATATATCTCTTTTTTTAAATATATTTTATTGATTTTACACAGAGAAGAAGAGAGAGGGATAGAGAGTTATAAACGTTGATAAGAGAGAAACATCGACCAGCTGCTTCTTGCACACCCCCCACTGGGGATGTGCCCGCAACCAAGGAATGTGCTCTTGACCAGAATCGAACCTGGGACCTTTCAGTCCGCAGGCCGACGCTCTATCCACTGAGCCAAATTGGTTTCGGCTATAAATATATTTTTAAAAAGCAAAAATCTACAGACATTTCTAAATTCGTTTCATTCAATGCATCTGAACTGTTGGGACGTCTAAAGCTTTACTTTGGACAAAGAGGAGGCACTGAGAAGAGCGTCATCTACTTGCTCAATCACTTATTCACTTCCTCATAACGCTACCAGGACTTCGTAATAAAATGCTACGGCCCTAGCCGGTTTGGCTCAGCAGCCAGAGCATCAGCCTGTGGACCAAAAGGTCCTGGGTTCGATTCCGGTCAGGAGCACATAGCTTGGTTGCAGGCTCCTCCCCAGCCCAGGCCTTGGTCAGGGCTCATGCAGGAGGCAACAAATTGATGTGTTTCTCTCACATGGATGTTTCTCTGTCTTTTCCTCACTCTTCCGCTCTCCCTAAAAACCAATGGGAAAATATCCTCAGATGAGGATTAACAACAACAACAAAAAGCTATGAGCACAGCCAGCTCTTTGCTTGTGGACAAGCTCAAAGACAACGAAGTGCATTAAATCTGCCCATCCCTCGCCGTTTGTGCAGGGCTCCGTTCTCAGGGCTTTGCAAAGACTCATGCCATCCCCCCAATAGCCCTATGAGGTGCTGCTACCACACCCGTTGTTTAAAGTAGGGCACGGAGTCCTGGAGAGGAGCAGAACTTGTCCAAGGTCCTGCAGCTGCACCCCAGCCTCCACGCCCAGGACTCTCACTGCCACACCCCAGGCCTCTCCTGAACGAGGCAATGAATTCACACTTTTTTTTTCTAAATAGCAAGTCCCTTTTCACTGATGACTGGTGATTCTGACTTCTTAGGTGATGAGAATTGGAATATTTGAGACTTTGGTTTCATTTATGGATCTTACTATTGGCATTATGACAAGCAACATGTGGGGTTAGTTTCCTGCACCTTAAAAATGTTCTATTTCTGCCGAAACCGGTTTGGCTCAATGGATAGAGCGTCGGCTTGGGAACTGAAAGGTCCTGGGTTCGATTCCGGTCAAGGGCATGTACCTTGGTTGCGGGCATATCCCTGGTAAGGGGTGTGCAAGAGGCAGCTGATCGATGATTCTCTCTCATCGATGTTTCTAACTTTGTATCTCTCTCCCTTCCTCTCTGCAAAAAAATCAATAAAATATATTTTAAAAAAATGTTCTATTTCTGCCCTGAGTACATGTCAAAAGGTGCAGAGACAGAGACAAACTGAACATGGTGTTACGTGACAGCTCTTTGGTACCTCACTGCCCCCACGTCTAGAAGTGACCGCAGGCCCAGGAGGGAGATGGACATGGGGAAAGCGCTTTAGGAGCTGTTTCCGGCATGCTGGGAAATAGGGTGTGAATACAAAGGTTTGGCCTCACACAAGAACCCACATGGCTATGTTTTAGAATTTCCCTCCTAAGACACAAAGCCAAATGTCCTTCAACATCCATCCTAGCACTCAATACCTTCAAGAAACATTCTTTCCCCATTTTTTAGCTCATGAAGTTGGCTTCTGCTTACAAATTGTAATCAGCAACCTCTGTACTTCATCTTTGTAAGAAATCTAATATCAAAGCTATTTTAATAAAGAATGCCTACATTTAAAATGGTGCCAGGTGGGGGATTACTTTGTAAATTATATAAATGTCTAACCACTAAGCTATACACAGAAAACTAATATAAAATATTACTAAAAGCCAACTGTAATTGAGAAAAAAAAAACTTATTCAGAAAAAAAAACTGCTTACATTTTAATGAAACCATCACATTTCAAGAAAATGGTTTGCATTATTTCATAATGCCTTCGAATGGGAAATCCTCACTTTTAACTTTGTGAGCAGTTAGCACCACACACCATGTAATAGCAAAATGCCAGCGCATAAGGAGTTACTTAACTTCAAGGGGCAACAATCCATCTGGTCACACAGTCACTCAGAGGAAAAGGCAATGTCCCCAGCAACCCCTGTATCAGACATAACGTTTCTTTTCTTTTTTTTTTAAATATATATTTTATTGATTTTGTACAGAGAGGAAGGGAGAGAGATACAGAGTTAGAAACATCGATGAGAGAGAGTCATTGATCAGCTGCCTCTTGCACACCCCCTACTGGGGATATGCCCGCAACCAAGGTACATGCCCTTGACCGGAATCGAACCCAGGTCCCTTCAGTCCCTAAGCCGATGCTCTATCCATTGAGCCAAACCGGTTTCGGCAGACATAATGCTTCTTGCACTAGTGTGCCCACTAATATCACATTTACTGAGAACACATCTATTTTGAGTTGTATGTTATCCATATGCATTTTACGTTTTGCTGGTTAGGGTTTTCATGTTGATGCAAAAATATAATTCACCCTTTTCCCTTACTACACAAAGAAGATATTTTTCCTAAGGTCATCTCTCAAACATTCATTCATTATAAGACATTTGAGAAAAGTCCTGAATAAGCAGCAAAAGAAAGCACACACAGATCAATGAAGTCCTCCTCCGTTATCAGAGGGTGTTCTTCAAATTATCTTTCCCAAAAAGGCTTTTGTGCATAAGATGTAGTAATCCGGAGTTGTGTGATTTCCTGTGCATGTGAGTGCGGGAGAGAGATGCAGGCAGGGGACAGAACCAGGCTGAGGGACGGTCAGGGGCTTAGACCAGGGGACCAGGACCAAGCCTGAATGTGCCCACATAGGCTATTGGTCTACTTAAGATCCCACAAGCAATGGGTCAACAGGAGGAAAAGGCATGGGTTTAATTTGTACAATACAAAGTTGTGAATAAAAGCGCCTTGAATATGTAAGTAACCAGAAATTTTAATAGAACATCAAACAAGTTGTAAAATATAAATTCCCTATACCAGTTCTGGTTTAAAGCAAAAGAATGAACTAATGATTAAAATCTTTCCATCGTTCTCTCATGGTTTTTTTTTTTTTAAACCTCACCAGAGGATATTTTTCCCATTGATTTTTAGAGAGAGTGGAAGGGAGGGAGGATGGGGAGAGCGAGAGAAACAATGATGTGTGGAAGACACAGCAATTGGCTGCCTTTTCTACACACAGTTGAAGCAGGGGATCAAACCTGCAACCGAAAAAAAGAAAACACAAACAAAATGAAAAACAAACAAAAAAGAACCTGCAACAGAGGCAGGTGCCCTCAGCTGGGAATCAAACCCGAGACCCTTCATTCCACACCAGCCAGGGCCCTCATGGTCTTAAAAAAGAAATCAGATCATGACATTTATTGAATAAATCTGTACATTAACAAGTAAAAAATTTCCAAATTGTACCAAACACCATACTGCGATCTTTAAAGCCAGAAATGGTCGTAGGGCAGGTAATTGTATTTTTTATAATTACTGAAGAGAACAATGCAATGTAAGCAACATGAAACTAGGATGCCACCCAGTTAGCTGAAAGGAAGTTCTCAGAGAAAAGAATGCATCAGAACAAGAGCCAGTCCCTTCCTATGCTAAGAACTGGCTCTGCTCAATATGGTTCTGCTCAGAGCGAGCAACAGTTATGTGAATGGTGAATCGAGCAATTTTATTGGTAAACCACATGTGACTTAGACGTTTCATACACACATAAGCACAGGCACACGCGGGAGACAAGAGAAGTCAGGGTCATGGCAGGATATCTTTACGTCGGCACATTGGCTAGCGAAGGCAATCCCAGGGAGCAGTGGTGCCGGGAAGAATCAAGGGCAAGTTCTCAGGAGCGTCCCTCCCTTCTATGCCTAGAACAGGAATATCACTGTCCCAACTACACCGCGATTCTATTCCTAGAGACATTTATATTCGTACTTCCTAAGAAGAATGAAAAACTGAAAACAACATGTAAAAAAACAAACCTAAATTTACAAATTTGTCCTTAAACCTGTTATGTGAACCTGAAATTTTAAAAACCCTTTAAAATTAGGACACTGACGAAACCCCGTCCCTAACTTGAGCGCACCTCAGAGCATGGCAGCTCTCCCGGCAGATGAAGCCCTACCTGTCATGTTTGTTTTCCTGGGCTGCTCGCAAGAGTTCCTGGATGTTTTTGGTGATCTGCTCAGTTTTCCGGATGACGTCTTCGGTGCTGGGGAGGCTGGGGCTTGGGGCCATGGAGGGCTCTGCCATATCTGGTATCGAGCCATCGCCTTGCCACGCCATACTCCTCTGCCTCCCCTTCCTGCTTGACCTGTGGACATCACAGAAGAGGCTAACTGCAGCAGGTGCTTATCTGTGTCTGCACTAGGAGCCCCGCGGTGAGGCTGTTCACCCACAGGCAGCATAGCGCACATGGAGGCTCTTCCGTTCACTAGGGGACTGGGAATGATGACTCTTGCAGAAAGGGGGAAGATAAGGAAAGGCAGGAATAACAAACGGGGAGGGAGTGTGATTAGAAAGCCATTCCTAACTGAGCCAGTCCCATGGGGTAAAAATGCAGAATATGACCTAACAGTGACTTAAAGTGAAGGACTGATTTGAAGCACATTTCAGAGACGCAGAGACATAAAATGTGCTGGTAAAGGAAAATAAGACCCTGTGGCCATGACGTGTGATGAGAAGAGGTGTTGACCTATGAACTATTGCCTCAATACTTGAAGACTTTGTGGGCCTGGGAACAGAGAAAGGGGTGCAGGGATGAGCCACAGCTCCGCACGCCCCCTGCAGTGTACCCCATGTCATCTGCGTCCGTGTCGTGGGGCGTGTTGTCATAGTCACTTTCAGGCGTGCTGTTCTGCTTCTCCAGCCTGGACGCCTGCAAGAGAGAAAAGGGGCCCATTGGTTCCGAGCGTCAGACACCACTGAGGAGCCCTTCTCCAGGAATCACTACTGCACGGCCCGGCCCGCACCTGGGATGGAGCCAACCCTCTACTGAAAACCTAGTGAAAGAGGAGCAGTGGGTACAGAAATACTATTTTCTCTGTGCGCCATTCTCAGCTCAGTGGCTGCTCCATAAGCAGATCCTTGGTACAAACTAATGCACACACACAAGGCAACACATCCACGTCTCATTCTCTAAGGGGCATGAGTTTAACTGTGATACAGTGAGTCCCACTGAACAGCAAAACGCCTGCACTCAGACACCACTGACCTTCAGCACTGGAAGCTGCCTGCACATTATCTAGTCTAACACCAGGTGAGAAGCGACACACCCAAGGCCACAGACTCAGCAGAAAACAGGACCTAGAGCCCGGGCCCCCTGCTTCCTCCCAGGCCTGGGCGCTAAGGCTCTCCAGGATCTCCTCAGAGGGGGTTATCAGAGCAGAAAACTAGTATTGATTCATTGCCACATGTTGTTTGTGAATAAAAATAGATGAACCTGGTGTATACTTGATTTCCAACCGTTTTTATCTGTTTCCCAAAGCACCTAACCCTCAAAATATAAAGATTTGATGCAACTGTGGAAATTAAAAAAATGGGAGGCAGATTTAAAAGAGGAATATAAAAAATGTGTTGAGCAAATGGCAGCACTGCTAAGTACAGGGCCTTTCAAGGTGACAAACTTGAAGGAGACCACATCCCCTTGAATCATTTAGTCAACATGGGTCTCCCTCAGTATGTATTTCATCCATAATGCTTTAGAACGTCTTCATCTAGAATAGAAATCAGTGGAAACTGATTTAAAACCTAAACTGATTACTTAGCAAAATACAAATCTAAGCTATTTCCAGCTCTCACCTTGAATTTAATCCAAGTTAATAAAAACATGTGACTTAAGGAATTATACTAATGCTGCAATAAAATGTGGCCAAAAATAGCTATACAGGTGTTCCTTAACGAATACAGGAATGGCCCGGCCGGTGTGGCTCAGTGGTTGAGCACTGACTCATGCACCAAGAAGCCAGTGTGGTTGGATTCCTGGCTAGGCACACACCCGGACTGCTGGCTTAATCCCCAGTAGAGGGTATGCAGGAGGCAGCAGATCGATGTTTCTATCTAACTCTGTCCCTTCCTCTTTCTCTAAAACCAATTTAAAAACACATATTTAGAAAATATATATACAGGATTGATTTTTCTGAGGAAGAGAGAGAAACAGTGATTAGTTGTTCCATTTACTATGCATTCATTGGTTGATTCTTGCATGTGCCCTGACCGGGATCAAACTCGCAATCTTGGCGTATCAGAAGGATGTAACTGAGCTACCCGGCCAGGGCTACAAAAATTTTTTTCAATTGACCTGCAAAGTTCAATTGACACACGTAGTTCAAACCCACATTGTTCAAGGTTCAACTGGTGGCTGAACATCTGCATGTGCAAAGGACCAATTTCAGTTATAATCAGATTTTTGACTGCAGGGGCTGTCGGTGTCCCCAGCCCCCATGTTGTTTGAGGGTCAACTGTAAATTAAGAGCCTTATTTAAACGTCTGGAGACCCAACAGTGTCATCCAAAAGAGTGGCTACTTTCGGGGGGAAAGGGGAGTGGTGGGTGCGGGAAGAGACTGAACATAAACTGTGCACCTATGGATGAGGACAATGGGGGGTGGGGAAAGGGCAGAAGGTGGGGTGGGAACCTGGTGGAGGGGGGAAGAAATGAGGAATCTTTGTAATAATATGAACAATAAAGATTGATTTTAAAAAAGAATCTAAAAAAAGGGGGGGGGGGAAGTGGCTACTTTAGAGTAAGTCAATTTAAGAAAAATCTACATAAAATCTAATTATGTGCTCCTTATTTGTAATGCTGCCTGGTCATCTGAAGGCCCTTATGTAGACAGGCAGGCAGCCAGCCCCCAGGGGAAGGCTCCAAATGCACATCACAGTTTGCTTACTATCCTCATGGCTTCTCTTTCCTCTCCCAGAGAAAACACTTTCTCTGTCTGCTGAGGTCTTTAACGGTCCCCCAAATGCTCTATTCGGTCTTGCCACTTCAATAGAAGACACTTGTGCTGGCTCATAAAATTCATACTTTATCCACTCAAATTCATCTGCCAAATGATTAAAAGTGTTAGCTTAGAGCAGTGGTCGGTAAACTGCGGCTTGTGAGCCACATGCGGCTCTTTCACAAAATACCACAATCTGGGCGAGTCTATTTTGAAGAAGTGGCGTTAGAAGAAGTTTAAAAAATTTGGCTCTCAAAAGAAATTTCAATTGTTGTACTGTTGATATTTGACTAATGTGTGGCTCGAGAGCCGCAGTTTGCCGACCATGGGCTTAGAGAATTTAAGTTCTGTAAATTGACTTTTAAGATCCCTTTGTTTGTATCTCCTACAAGAAAGCCATTTCTGCTTCACTTGCTGCCCATTTTGATCTGGATTATCTAATCACCGCGTGAGTCACTGGCTGCTGGAAGTCTAGATGGCAGACCAAAGGCAGGCCCGTGTCCAGTGCAGGGCACAGGGAAAGCAGCTCTTCACAGGTGACCTCAACACAGAACAAACACCCATCTTACCTTTCACAGGGAATGTTTGACCGATCTTTACATTTCTTTTCCTTCAGTTTACACACACACACACACACACACACACACACACACACACACGTAAATGTAATAGAAAGACTTGCATTTAAATAATTATTCTGGAAAATTCATCCAGAGCTGCTCCAGTGGACAATTCTAGAAAATAGAATTATACCCAGAAAATCTCACATTTTATAATGGATCTTTTTGCCTTCCTTAATATAAATTTGATAATCACAAATAGAATGAACTACCACCACAATGATCAAGTTTCATTTAGACATTTTAGAAAAGTAATAACTAATATATCTAATAAAAGTACTCAGGAAATATTTCTCCAGTACTGAAAATAATGTTTGGCAGGAAATCAGTTACTTACGAATTATTAAGTTCTTCAGTATTGTCAGCAAAAACATATATATGATTTCAAGTTAGCCAGCATTTAATTTTGTGAAAAATTATTGTGAACATGCAGAGGTAAGAACCATTAGTTAAAAGTGCTGTTCTCTCAAAGCTGTTAATAGAAAAGTTACTGAGTAGCTGGTGCTGGTTCAGTTTATTCTATAAATTTGCTATTTTTTAAAAATATAGACATCCCATATGAACCTAAACTCATGATAAAGCTTCCAGGAATATTCAGGATTACCAGTTTAAATGACTTAATTGTTAATCTTGTATAAAACTCCATTTCAAAAAGCAGTCCTTGCCAAAGCTGGTTTTGCTCAGTGGCTAGAATGTCAGCCTGCGGACAGAGGGGTCCCAGGTTCGATCCAGTCACGGGCATGTACCTTGGTTACGGGCACATCCCCAGTGGGGGGTGTGCAGGAGGCAGCTGATTGATGTTTTTCTTTCATTGATGTTTCTAGCTCTCTCTCTCCCTTCCTCTCTGTAAAAAAATAAAACATATTAAAAAAAAAAAAAAAAAAAAAAAAAAAAAAAAAAGCAGTCCTTGCAATTATTCTCAAAACTACTGGAGAAAAAAAAAGTTTTGTTTTTTCAATTTCAAAGTGGACAAAAGTTCACTTAAAAGTTCATGACATATTTCATTTCTATTAACTGTCCCTTAGTTTAACTGAAATATTGTAATAAAAAACATTGCAGTTCCTTTTACAACTGCTCAGAAGGCTTGGAGATTCCCTCAAGTGTCCAGTGTTCTTTTCAGTAGACTGCTTCAAAGCTGCGGGAAAGAACCACTGAAGGGCCCGAAGTGCCAAGTGGCATTGGCAGTGGGAGAGAACAACTCATGATCCCTCCGTGTGTGCAGGGCATGGAAAAGGCCAGGTGCAGATCCCACTGTGTCCGTAAAGGTGGCCCCGCACCCACAGCTCCCGCTCCTCCTCTCACTTAGCTCCACTCCCCTGGGGTAGAAAGAGTGAGCGGGGACCTGACTGCAGGTCTTCAAGACTTTCGTTCTTTCCAGGGTGTCTCAGCTTGCCATGTGCTCTTCATGCATGAGACTATTTTGTAAATGGCAGTGCCTTTGGGAGCCGGAATGTCATCTCAATCCCTAGGACCTTTTCACTGACAAACCAAAAAGCCGGGTATGACCCTGGTTGGTGTGACCCAGTTGGTTGGAGCATTGTCTTGTGCACCAAAAGGTGGTGGTTTGATCCCCACCACCACTCTCTCTTCCTCACTTCCTGTCTCTGAAATCAACTAAAAAAAAAAAAGGCTGCGAATGGAGGAGTTGGACTCAACTTAAAAATACTAGGTATAGCTATTCTAACTGGAGTTTGCCTGAATTGTATACTGTTACTGGGAATGCAAGTTATACATCAGAAAGTGAACTTGCTTTGGCCTCAGTGGTTAAGTGGTTAGAATGTTGGCCTGTTCCTCAAAGGGTACAGATTCTATCCCCAGCCCTGGATGGGGAGCGAGCAAGAAGCAACCAATTGATTTGTCTCTCTCACATTGATTAAAAAAAAACAAAACAAAAAACCTCTCTCTAAAAAGATTAATGGAATCCGGCCAGTGTGGCTCAGTGGTTGTGTCAAGCTATGAACCAGGAGGTCATGGTTCGATTCTCGACCAGGGCACATGCCTGAATTGCAGGCTCAGGAGGCATGCAGGAGATGGCCAATCAATGATTCTCTCTCATCATTGATATTTCTATTTCTTCCTCTCCCTTCCTCTCTGAAATCAATAATTTTTTTTTTTAATTAATTGAGCCCTACCCAGTTTGGATCAGTGGATAGAGCATCAGCTTGTGGACCAAAGGGTCCCAGTTCTATTCCAGTCAAGGGCACGTACCTCAGTTGCAGGTTCCTTCCTGGCCTGAGCCCTGATTGGGGCTCATGCAGAAGGTAACCAATAGATGTATTTCTCTCACATCAATGTTTCTTTCTGTCTTTCCCTCTCTCTTCTATTTTCCCTAAAAATCAATGGAAAAATATCCTCAAGTGAAGATTAAAACAACAACAACAAAAAAGGAAGTTGGACTCAACTAACTAATAAAGTGAACCAACAGCTGCAGAGACCTCTAATTCTGCTATGTATTGCAATGCTTACATGAGATGCATGGACGGCAAAACCTTGGTTTGTCAAGTATGGTGCTGACAAAGTATGTTAAGAGGTTAAAAGAGCTGAAACAAGTTTGGCTCAGTGATAGAGCGTCGGTCTGCAGACTGAAAGGTCCCGGGTTCGATTCCGATCAAGGGCATGTACGTTGGCTGCAGGCACATCCCCGGTAGGGGATGTGCAGGAGGCGGCTGGTCGATGTTTCTCTCTCATCGACGTTTCTGGCTCTCTGTCTCTCTCCCTTCCTCTCTGTAAAATATATTTTTTAAAAATTAAAAAAAAGAGGTTAAAAGAAATAAAAGCATGATGTCTTGGTATTTCAGTTAGTCCAAATATACTAGTTTTAATGTGATAGCTGAAGCTCTGAACTAATCTGACTACAATATTTCACCAGCAGCCAGCTAATATTCTGATTGTTTAAAATGACAGTAAGCTCAGAATTAATGTTATAGGGTAAATTGTGAACTTGATTAAATAGTACGTGAAACAGAGCAATGTGGAGTTAGACGAAAGGGTGGCCGTCTCCCACAGACGTGTGCGTGTGTCCATGCATGCTGCTAAGAGCTGCCTCATGCAGGACAAAGGGCAATCAGCAGAAGGACAGGAGGGCCAGAAACACACAGTGCCCAGGAGCTGCCCCTCCTCCAGAGAGTCGGCCATTCAGAGTGTACTTAACCCTTCGGGTGCTTTCGTCCCTGGACCAGGAAAGTGTGGAGGGGAAGGAAGGCAGAGATGAAGAGGAGGTCACAAGTGCACTCCTCCCGATCTAAAAGGGGAAAAAGAAACACACTCGGGAAAATACATACAACAAAAGCCCTACCACCTACCCGGTTTCCCAGGAAGACTCCTAAAAAGCTACTCAATCCTCAAGATCAATGCTGAAGTTTCTGTGACTGGCAGCTGACAGCACACTAGCCGATGACAAATGCCCAGACATGTTTAACCCCTTTGTGAAATGCCTTCCAGAAATTACTAGGAATTTTCTTCAATATAAAGGAGAAGATAATATCTAGCATAATTTGTCAAATTTGCCAATAATTTAAAAAAAAAATAGCCTTACACAAATATTTTTAATTAAGACAGATAATATGAAATGAGAAAACTATATGAATGATTAAAAGTTGGTATATTATCAATCTATTTTTTAGTAGATATAAACCTTTTACAATAATAAAATGACATTCTTACATTCCAAGTGTTTCTAAAATAAAAATATATACTATGAAAACTAACAAAGTTTGCTTTTCTTAAATTTTGTTTTCAGTTATACAAAAACAAGTTTTTTAATTTAGTTCAATGACATTCCATTACACCAAAAGTATAAAATCAACTGCTTTAGAATGTTTAGCCCAAACAACTTAAAAAGTTGAATATACTCCCATTACAATATAACAACACAGTAATTTTTACCACACTAAAGCTGGACAAAATTAAACTAGGGATCAATTTACTAGACCAGATACATTCTTTACTTTGAATTTTCTCTGAGAATTTTTTGGAAACTCTTACAAAATTTGACTAAAAAAAATAACAACTGTGACATTCAAAAAGATAAAAATTATTCTCTAAAATTATCACATAAGTTCACAACATCTGTGACATTTGGTCAAAACAGATTTTTAAAATAAATCAATCTGGAAGAAATATATTATTTCACAACACAATTATTATCCCATTGTAAAATAAGATGTTAGCAGCCTGTTACAAAACACAATCTTCGGAATACAACACTTGTAAAATCGATTAAAGTGTTTACACCTCATTCTTATGAAAGGGCAAAGCAGAGCGTTCTCCAGAGTGGGGCGGCAGGGGCTGCGCTGACCACACGTGCAGAAGCTGTGGAGCCCAGAAGCTGTGTATGTCCCCACCACAGGTGCCACCTGCTCAGCTGGGAGGAGCAGAGAAGGCACCTTGCATTCTAAGGGCTCTCGCTCATAAAGGGGCATGCACCTGTCTTCACCACCTCAAAGAAGATGGCACTTACTTCTAGTGGCGACCTTAACAATTTGTTTTTGTTTTTGGAAATGGGGGAGAAAGTTGGTTATAAGAAAATACAATTCCCACAGGGAGAAAAAGGGGAGGGGAGAACTTTTGGCCAAAGACCCTGTTGCTGGTGGTGCTCCCACAGCCTCTGTCAACATGTTAAAACACAAACACAACTCGCATAGCCCAATGTGGCGAAGCAGAGACACGGGCATGTCCAGGTTCAGAGGAGGGAATGCAGGAGGCAGGCTGCAGAGAGGGGCCGGGGAAGCGCCAGTGGTGGTACTTACGTGTGCAGGGAACGGCTGCAGCCTCGTCCTGCTCTCTTCGGGGTGGTTTGCTTCCCCCACTGGGAGATACGCCTTCTGACCCGATCCCGTCTCGTACATGGACATGGGTCTACTGCCCCGGGCAGACGGACGTCGCTTTAAGGAAGAATGGTTGGAAGTATCTGGGTACTCAGAACCCGTTTGCACCTGATATATTTTGGTTGAGGCCTGTTTCCTGAGGTTCGAATTTTCACTCTGCAGTGTTTGAAGCTGAAAGAAATGTTTGGCAGTGGGACTGTGTTTTTCTACAGCAAGCAGAAAAAGCAAACACCAAATAAATGCATACAACTACCAGCTTTAAACAATAAAAACAATAGCAGCTAGCTGGGTTGAAAGTAAAAGGCAACTGTAAATGAGAACTCTATCTTCTAGAATGAATGAAACGCAATCAACTCACTTCATCACTGAAGCATGATAAACAACTTAATTTCTAAATATAGAAAAGTTGCATATTAGATTTTTTAAAACAAATGTCTAACAACTTAAAATTTGGTCATGGCAGACCTGAGAAATGTTTGCAGGCAAGCTGAACTCTGGATTTTCCTAAGGCTGTTGCTAGCAAGAGCTTGAGGTCATTAAGACATCGCATAGGTAACTTGCTTTTCAAACGAGCCCTGAGCAATTTGCCAAAATGCCAGCGGACACCATGGAAGCAGCACAAAAGTTACTGGAATTGCGGTGCAAAGCAAGAAAGACAGTGAAGTTCAGCTCATGAAAAATCAGGTCAGCTACTTCCCAGAAAGCCAACAGGAAAAATTATAATCAACAAGCTTTTATTACATAATATTCTTGATGTTCCAAACAATGTAGCACATGTTAAAAAAGAGAGGGAACGGAATCATGGTACGCTTGCTATATTAACAGGTTACACAGAAAACTGAAGACCTGTTCTGTTAACATCTTCATCTGAACGCTCCACGTAGCACGCTCGCTTCCCTTTGGTGACTGGTTAGCTTTCAGTCAGAGAGCTGGAATGTGTGGCCTCTCTCTCCTTTGGTTTTGTCACCCAAAATCACAACCATGATGGTGTCAGCTTTAAACACTCTAATCTGCCTGGCACCACCCTGTTTTAGTTAGAGGCTGTCACTTGGAGACCCTGAATGCTCTTTCCATTCCTCACATGCAGGCTGCTTCATGGTGTCTGATGAATTCGAGTTAAGGGATCTGCAAGGAATCATGTTACTCATTGGCGTCTGGCATTTTAAACACAATTAACTGAGTCCAGTCTGCAATGTCCTTCCCCTCTGGTGCTCCTTCATCTTCCGTGACACTGTCTAAGCTGGGTGTGGTGTGAGTTCAGCTGTCTACTCTTTGACAGTGATTGTAAAATCTGACCAAACTGCCCACCAGGGCCAAGGCTCAGGTCCGCAAGCAACTGTATCTGCACCAGAAGATCATTACTTTTTCGATAGCAAACCATTCAGTGTTAGGAGTTACTTTCAATTTTTATTTATAAAGCACCGATCTGTGAAAATGCACCAATAGTGGCTGCTCCTCTTCATTAATTAGCATCTTTTCCAAGCAACTGTTAAAATGTGAAAGATCAAATAGAAATCACGCTACTTTGTCAACTCAATATATTTATATATTAAAAAACTTTACCTAACTTTGAAATAAAATCAATACATCTTTGTTAAATAAACATATCTCACATACTTTATATTAATAGTGCTAAACTTCTGGAAAGCCTGGCGTACCACCTCTGTCAGAGAAATACCCTCATCCTCCGTTTTCTCAAAGAGTGACCCACTGAGGACTGCTCCTACACCACACAGGCTTTCAGGACCTCACACATCTGCAACTCCCTTTCCAAAGAAGGAACCACAGCTGCAAAGTGACAAGCAGCCATGGAAAATCCCGGCATACCAGGACACAGACAGGCATAAGGTGCCTGTCAAAACTATGTACTAGGGAACCCATATCCTAAAATGAAATGGTCAAGGTCCAAAGAGTGAGGAGCTTAACTGACACATGCCTGCCGGGGAAGGAGTGGGTGTCTGGTCACATGTCTGTCTATGTAAAAGCCTTCTCTTAAGAGTGTTTAAGACAAGGATGTTTCATGTCTCTGAAACATCCAGTCTGGATTTTGCTTGCAAGTGTTTTGATGAGCACAAATTCCTGGTCTCAATTTTTAAGAACTTTAGTATTCTGTATTTAGAGGGACGTCTTGGATGAATCAGAATATTTATCTAAATGAGAACTAGACCACTTTTTTTATTTGGAAGGAGTATAACAGGAAATAAAAATTTACAGCTAGTCCAATAGTTTCAGAAATCAAAAGCTTTTCCAAGAATTGAGGAAATAATCCATGAGCAACAGCAAATAATTTCATTCTATATTTCTTAAAGAAGCCTAAGACATTTGCTTTCAGAGATAGGTTATCTCTGGCAATTTCTACACGTACTAAAAGGAGCATTAAAGAATCAAAAAGCTGATGCTTAGCAGGTTGATTTACAGTGGCAACGTCAGCATGTTTCAGAAAAAGACACCTCAACGAAATTATTAATTCAATTAATGGGTCAAACTGTAATTTATTAAACAGGTATTTCAGAAAAGACAGAGGAAGTGCAAGCCTTGTGTTACGGCTGCATACCAGGGCCAGCAAGGCAGAGAACAAGTGTTAGGTTAAAATCTGACTGATCTTCGTGTCCCCTCCTATGATAGCTATCTCTATCTCAAAAAGGTCTCCACAAATGATCTAGAACTCAGCACCAGAAGAATCCTTGACCACGCCCAGGCCAAGGCGCACTGCAGGGTACTTCCCTGACAAGCAGAGGGCACAGCCCCTTAGTTCTGTGGCCTTTCTTTAGGAAGCATCACTGAAAAGGGCCCAGCCACAGATGACCTGCACCACGTCCTCTGTTCTTGATCATGATTCTGAAGCATGACTCTGCAAATGCCTTTGTTTTGTTTCTGTCTAAGGGAAGTGTACAAAATCCATATTGTGGAGAATTGAAGGACGAAATTTTCAATTTTCTTTTCTTAGAATTCTCATAAAAAATTACATATGTAATCCACATCTTAAGCAGATTCCTTGCTACTGTTAGCCACACTTCTTTTAGGGATTAATATATTCATATATTTCTGACTCTCTTAAAAGGCAGTGAACGAGAAAATGCTAAGCCTAAGGTTATTAGTGAACATCTCTCACTACTGTAAACAGAATGTTTGCTTATATTCACAGAGAACCTGCTCTGTGCAGGCCCTGCTCTAAGCTCTGAGGAATCATAAACTAGTAGTGAAGCACTGGTGAAAAGGGAAGTGGGGGTGCAGGACGGGGCTGCCAGGCGGGGGTGGATAACGACTCAGAATAAGAGTGAAGAGGGACAGCACCCCTGGCCTGGCGCGGGGTGGGGCATGATGTGGAACGCTGATAAACAGGGCTTTCATCTGCTGTCTTTCAGTATGGTTATTCTTGTAGAATGAGCAATAGGAAGAAACATATCCACGGAGTGGCATCCAGGATCCCAGGAGGCACAGTGCAAGGTTTACTACAACTGATAGAAGCACCCAACAGGCAGTGGCTTTGTTCTACTGGGACACTTACTCTGTGTTTACTTATCAAAGCTACCTGCAATATCCAAATACTACTTCCAAAAAGACAGCTTGGCCCAAAGATTTTAGGTTACAATAACTGTTTTTTCTTCCCTCTAACCACAAGTATTGTGCCTGGGATTCTTCCTTATACTAAGGGGTTAAAGCGTCAATCATCCTGGCATTTATTAACATGTTACCTTTTTCTGCATAATTCTCAGCTCGTCACTCAAGTTGTTATTCACCTTCATTAGCTGTTGTATCTTGGCCTCAGAAGCCACTAGAGCGTTTTTGACCTCCATAAATTCCTGCACAGTGACTGGTCCATCTGATAAATCTGAATCTAGGCTCTAAAAATAAATTGGGGAAAATGTTCACAATCTGAGACGATGATAACATTCAAGACTAACAGCTAAAGAATTTCAAATTTTGACCATGCCAGCTGGACTGCAAAGTTAATCAAACGAAATCAAGGCTTCTGAGGGTAATGCAAAAATAAAACATAAAGGTAGGGTTACTATAATATTTGAAAAAATTTAAAGTCAATATTTTCTAACAAAATAGGCAGTCGTGCTATAAACCTACTCTGACAATGACTCTTTAAATGCACTTGTCTTGTCTGCCTTTCCTTGCTCATTCATTTTTTCTTTTTATTCATTCTTTAATCCATTCATTCAAACAAAAGTTTGAGCACCAGGCAGTGTTCTGGGGATATATAAGAAAAGAAAATAGACTATGATTCCTACTCCATGGCATTTATATCCAACAGAGTGAGGGGGGGGGATAAAAACAAGTGACTATACAGTCTGACTGAAGGTGGTAAGTGTAGTAGGAAGTGGATAACATGGAGAAGGGTAAGGGGCTAGGGAGCTCAGGTAGGGATGAAGGTGGCATTTTACTTAGACGGGGAAAGTCTTTAGGGAGGGGAGAGGTGAGCAGCAGCCTGAAGAAGGTGAGGACATTAGTCAGATGGCTGTCTAGAGGAAGAACATTCAGCCAGTGGCAGAGCTCAGCTAGAGGGAGTGGGTGTGCAGGGCAGAGAGGAGTGGGAGGCCCGTCAGTCCACAGAGGACCCTTTCCCGTAGGGTCCTGCCATGACCTTCACTTTCACCGAGAAACGCAGTGCTGCTAGGGAAACCTGGCAAGGTGTTTCAGACATGTGACTCTCGCTGTCCTCTCCGCATTCCCTGCATCTGCCAATGGCACCACCATTCTCACAGTCATGTGAGCTACAAACCCGACACATGTTCTGTAAGTCTATCTCCCCCATTCAAACATCCAACTTGTTGCCAAGGCTGGTCTATTCCATTTTCCTGCCCACACATTCTCAAAAGTTTGCGGAGCCCCTCTGTGGGCTAGGTCAGGGCCAAGGTCCTGGGGATTCAGCAGAGGGTGGACCAGCCAACCCCTGCTGCTCCTCCCTGCGCTCACACTCTGCCACAGTGATCTCTCTTCATCTGGACCTCCCAGCCAAGCCCTCACGTGGTCTGGCCAGCCGTTGGGGAGTATCCTGATTGGGTTCCTTTCTTCTCCTCTCTGAACTTCCAGAATACTCCTCCCAAAATACGGGACCCAAAATGGCTGGCCACTGCCTCCTGCTCTCCCTAAAAGCTTCCTGGGCTCGGCTCTGCCTGCCAGGGTTCATGCTCTTCAGTCTGGCACATGGTGTGACCTCCGCCTGCTGCTGCAGCCTTAGTTCCCACTCCTTTCAGGCTCTCTACACATCACAGTCCACCCCTACGCCCCAGCCAGATGCCCTTATTTCCTTTTCTCTCCGCCTAGACCACTCCTCCCTGCCTTTCACATGGCCAACCCAATGCACCCTTTAAGACACGTGAAGAGCCATCCTATTTACAAAGCCTACGCTATCCCCCTCAGCAACAAGTTGTGTCTTCTCTCGGCTCCTGTCTTATGATATGTATCAGTGTGGACCTCATACTGCAGCCACCTCTCCGCTTAGGCAGTGACAGCCTCACAGGAAAGGCACCAGACCTCGGTCAGGGAAGTATTACTCAGAGAAGTCCTTGGTAAACATCTGTTGAAAGAATAAAACACACAGTCCCTCCTCACAAGTTTTATAAAGTCACAACTGCAGCAGGACTATGTGACTCAGCAATGACTCAGGGACAAAGGACTCCCACTTACCTCGCCTGACCTCTGCTGGGCCCAAGCTCGTTAGTGAACTCAACTCTACCTCCCAGCACTTCCACGGGGCAGGAGAAGAGATGTTTAAAAGAATCACAGTCTCCCTTCCTGTGTGTCCTCTCACCTTCTGCCTGTTGGCCTTGCTGGCAGTGGCTTCCAGATCTGTGTCTTCATCTGACGCCACACTGTCATAGTCCGGCTGGTCATTGTCTTGACTCTCAATAGTATGCTGGTTATTGATGGTTTTCAGTATGAGCTCCACATTGTCTATCAATAGAAGCAAATAACTTTATTCAGGCCTAAAAAAAAACTTTTAAAAAAGTTATTGGGACAATGTTCTAACCAACTAAGCAACATGGCCGGGGCCTTAAAAAAAAGTTTTTCCCAAAAAGATTATTGGGAGGATTTTTGGATTGCTATTTAAAAGACTGAAGAAAAATGACAGCAATAGCAACCAGACAGATAACCTACTACAAACTGCAAAGAGAGATTTAAGCATCCCCCTGAGCTACTCACCAAATGTGGGCAAATAATAAGATTGCTTATGAAAGAGCTGATCAAAGGAGGCCGGTTCCCAAGTTTCTAATCATTCAGTGAGATAGAGTATAGCTCCAAATCACGAAGATAAAGCTGTGCTAATGCAAGCTTAATTGTGATTAACCAGGTTAACATCAAGTCAAGATAGATTATTAAAGTGGAGCCTAAAAAGTAGGTGCTCAAAGAGCAGGCACAGGTATTTAGTCAGCTGGATGCCAGTGAGAGAGGAAAAAACAGAATGACCCAGTAGCCAAACACATGTGCATATTAGAAAGGAATGGTCTAAAAGGGAGCAGGGATGATTCAATGGGCTCTAACACATCTATCTTATCGAATAAAAGAGTAATATGCAAATTAACCACCACTGTGCTACACCCACAAGCCACACCCACCAGCCAAACAGTAGTGAGTATGCAAATTAACCCAACCAAGATGGCGACCAGCCACAGAGAGAGCAGGAGGCTTGGGTTTCCTTGGCGAAGGAGGAAGCCAAGCTTTCCGCCTACTCTGGTCAGCCCTAGCCTTCGCTCAAGGCTAAAACTTTTCAATGATAGAAGATAAATAAATCCCAATAAAAATGGCTGTAGCCACAGAGTGAGCAGGAGGCTTGGGTTATTTATACTTACATGTGGTATACTCATTTGTACATACATGTTATAAATGTTTTCCTTAGAAAATTGGTATTATACGTAACTAAAACTTTATTTAAAAAATTATTATTTGGCCGAAACCGGTTTGGCTCAGTGGATAGAGCATCAGCCTGCGAACTGAAAGGTCCTTGGTTTGATCCCAGTCAAGGGCATGTACCTTGGTTGCGGGCACATCCCCAGTAGGGAATGTGCAAGAGGCAGCTGATCCATGATTCTCTCTCATTGATGTTTCTAACTCTCTATCCCTCTCTCTTCCTCTCTGTAAAAAATCAATAAAATATATATATATTTTTAAAAAATTATTATTTGACCAGCCAGTGTGGCTCCGTGGTTGAGTGTAGACCTATGAATCAGGAGGTCACGGTTTGATTCCCAGGCAAGGGCATATGGCCAGGTTGTGGGCTCAGTGTGTAGGAGACAGCCAATCAATGATTCTCTCTCATCATTGATGTTTCTATCTCTCTCTCTCTCTTTCCTCTCCTCTCTGAAATCAATAAAAATATATTAAATATGTATAGTTTTAAAAAATATTATTTTATACTGTCATTACATATTCTCTGAAAAAGAAAGTCTGTGTAATACTATTCAAATATGTGACTAAATGTTGTTCTGTTATGTTTCTAATGTTTTCAATATTATATATATATATATATATATATATATATATATATGACACTTCTGATTATTTCTCAATTAACATCTAGAAATAGAACCTCCAAATCAAAAGTGTACATTTTGATACTCCATATTTATTAAAGGACCCTTATCATTGCATCTTCACCAAAGTTTAATAAGCTTTCTTAGAACTTGATTACTCCTGGTCAAACCAGTAAAATCAAGAACAAAATGTTGTCAGTTAATGAGTACTTACTGTCTTTGGGAATATAATATTGACTGAAAACTTAATTTTTATGGTATGTACTTCTGTTTAAATGTTTTACAATAAAATGTATTATAATTAGAAAAAAGCCATGAAGACAGTTTTGTGGCTGAAGGCAGCATTCCTTAGGCACAGAGACAGGTCCCTGAGTTATGGAACAAACCTCTAAAGGACACGGAAACAGGCACTCGTGCTATCTACAACTTAACCCACTTAACCCACAGTAATTCTCACGGTTGGCATCTCAAGTAACAAACTTTAAACATCTGGAGCTCAGTTTTGTTTTGTTTGTTTTAAATATATTTTTATTCAGAGAGGAAGGGAGAGGGAGAGAGAGATGAAACATCAATGATGAGAGAAACATTGATGGACTGCCTCCTGCACACCCTCACTGGTGATAGAGCCTGCAATCTGGGCATGTACCCTTGACCAGAATTGAACCTGGGACCCTGCAACCTGCAGGCCAGCGCTCTATCCACTGAGCCAAACCAGCTGGGGCTAGAACTCAGTTTTGTAGGTAAGCAACAGCAGATGAGCTGTAATTTCAATAAAGAGGGCTTATTTTCTTATGTATAATACTTTAACAAGATCTAAGTCAGTTAATTTCAGGATGCAACTTTATAGGAATAAAGATAGGTGACACAAGAGGGAAAAGTCACACATATGATACACGTATTTGCATAGAGTTAATAATGTTGAAATATTTGTAAATCACCAGGGCTCACAGAGGTAAACTTTTTATCCCAACATGATAGCAATAAAACTTATAGTTTTTTAAGCTATTCTGCTGATGACTGCTCTAATCATTTTGTAACTTTAAATCTAGCACCTGTGTGGAATTGAGAAGGCCAAAGAAACAAAATTGGTTTGAAACAGTTACCTTTTGAACCAGAGAGAGGACTGCCTTGCTGTCTCCTCTTGGCATCACTGAGAATGTCAATAACCAGCGTAGCAAACTCATGTGCATTAAACCGAGCTAATTTCTGTCTGCCCTGAAGGTGAAAAAATAATTGAAAATATTCCCAAATGTCAAAATACACACATAAATATTCACATAAAAATAGTCAGGCTATTGTTAGACTTTGGCAAAGACCTTCCAGCATGATTAAGGCATCACCAACCATAGCAAACTGAACCAACATTAACATTTTCCTTGCCATCAGTTTAAAAACATTTACATAGGATAACTATATAACATTTAAATTCTCACAATGCATATATATTTTGGGGAACAAAACTAAATTAATTCTACTTACAGCTCCCCCATCCTAATATCAAGCCATTTTTAAATAGATGTAGTAATAAAAAATTAATTTGGAGAGAAAATTTTAAAATTGCAAGATAAATTTATAGTCTATATGCCAGGATTCCATCATTATATATATTCATCAATCAATAAAAATTAAAAGACCTTCCTAATTTTATCTTCTTTCTTCCTGATGGTGCTTAGGCTGTTTTTAATGCTCTACTGCTACATACAGAGCTTCAATGAACATCGTTCATTGTACACGAATCTCTGTATTTTTATTTTATTAGAACATATCCCCAAATAAAGAATTCCCATGTGAAAGGATGGGCACTTAATTTTGAGGCTTCTGAAATAAGTTCGCAAATTGTTTTTCTAAAGTCTGGAACAACTGAAGCAAGCCCATCTAGCCAGATCCTTACCAGTTTTGAGTACCCCTTATTGTACACTTTATTATATTATTGATGAAACTTTCATTAATGCCTTTAGGTTGCTTTGTTTGATTATTTTTTTCCACATGAAAGGCCATTTATATTTCTTCTGTGAATTGTGTTCTTGCCCAGGCATGTACTGCTACCTACCGCTTTTCTTACCAATTTGTTAAGTGTGTATGTGTATGTGTATGTGTATATAAAGGCCATTAATATTTGAATAAAAAATATTAAAATACCTGTCTTGGAAAAATACCAAGGTATCAACTGTTCTCAAAATATCACCCTGGTCACTTTTCACACTCAGCCACTTGCCTGGTTCCGTGTGGATGAGTACTCGGGGTTGACCGGAAGGAAGGGAACGACGGTGGTCTCGGTCACCAGGGTGCTGTGGTTTTGCGTGGCAAGCCAGACTAGCCAGGGGAGAAAGCCAGAGACAGAATCTCATTATCAGGGGTGTGCCACTGCTCATCTGAGAGCCGCAGCCCCACCTTACTAGGGAGACTTAAGGAAGCACATTCCGAAGCCAACATACACAGGACAAAATGTCCACACAGGTGTTATCAGGACAGGAGAAATTGGGCAAGTAAACACTGCGGCTGGCAGCTTGTCACTGCCCACCTATAACAAGCATATTAGATAAAGCCCCACGTTAAGTCACCTGCATCAGTCTCTCGCCTGTCAACTTCATCGTACACATCCATGGCAAGTTCTTCAAACAAGTGATTACTTAGCTGAAAGTAAAAAAAAATCAGGAACACAAGGGACAAGGATTAGCACTAGCAGAATGAGTGGGGACTGTGACTTATTCACCCTTTAACCTCCAATGTTTTATCCAGAGCCAGTGCTTAGGAAATACCCACTGTAACACAGGCAGTAACATTTCCAAAAGAGCGCAGATCCTGATAGACCTGCTTCCCAGAGCAGCCTCACTCCTCTCTGGTATGCAGACAGGGCTGTGTACAGAGGAGGTAAGAGACATCTAAAGCGCCTCTCTCAAACACAAGTTTTAGTGCTCTACTCTTCATGTGATATCAACTTGAAGTCTTCTCTTTTGCTCTTGAGAATATTTGCCAATGTCCCCAAATATAAGGGGTCATAAACCCTTGGCAGGATAAAGATGCAAACATGCAATTTTGAGAAGATAGAAGTTGCCATCGCATAAAAATATCACTGCCCTGGCCAGTGTGCTCAGGGTTTAGAGTGCTGGCTCTCAATCTGAAGGATCATAGATTCAATTTCCAGTCAAGGGCACATACCTGGGTTTCAGGTTTGATCCCCAACCCATCGAGGTAGATGCAGGAAGCAACCAATCGATGTGTCTCTCTCACATCAGTGTTTCTCTCTCCCTCCCCCTGCTTTCTTTAAAAAAATCAATGGAAAAAATATCCTTAGTCCGACCAGCATGGCTCAGTGGTTGAACGTTGACCCACTGTGAACCAGGAGTTCACAGGTTTGATTCTGGTCAGGGCACATGCTCAGGTTGCAGGCTCAATTCCATGTGGAGCATGTAGGGGGTAGCCAATCAATGATTCTCTCTCATCATTAAGATATATCTATATATATCTATATCTATATCTCTATCTATCTATCTATCTATCTATCTATATATATCTGAAATATATATATATCTGAAATATACATATATCTAAATCAATAAAAATGTATTTTTAAAAATATCCTCATATTAACAAAAATAAGTAAAATAATAAAAAATATCACCAGAGCCGAAACTGGTTTGGCTCAGTGGATAGAGCATCCGTCTGCAGACTGAAGAGTCCCAGGATCAGTTCCGGTCAAGGGCATGTACATGGATTGCGGGCACATCCCCAGACAGGGGTGGGCAGGAGGCAGCTGGTCAATGCTTCTCTCTCATCGATGCTTCTAACTCTATTCCTCTCTCTTCCTCTTTGTAAGAAACCAATAAAATATTAAATATATATTTATATATATATCACCAGACCTTGGTTAAGCCTCTTTGCTACCTTCCTCAGTAGTAGCCACAATCCCCAGAACTGAGCAGCCCCAATAAGGGATAGGCTGTCTGATCTGTATGCTATGCAGGGTCAGCCAACAAAATACTCCCCACAGACAGCAGCCAGGATGGTCAAAGGCAGGGTCTTCCCTAACCCAGATGAGGCTAAGCCCTGCCAGGTGTCTCCGGCTCTCTCTATGCTTTTTCCTCACAAATGCACCCTGACAACTGGTGGCTGTTAGTTTTTAGTTGACCTCTCCCCATTCTGTGAGCGTAAACTGAATTTGCTCTGTTCTCTATTGTGTTCTTCACATCCCCACACAGTACCTGGCACTGAGATGGGGCTCAGTATACAGCCAATCACACATTGACACAAGGCATTTTATGCAGCGATTTTAAATGCTGGCTGCACAGACCTCATGGGAACTCATTAAAATGGATACAATACATTGTTGGGTGAAAAAAGCAGGATATAAAATTCTAAAATTATGATGGAGCCTCATTTTAAAAAGATACCTGAAACAAGAATTAGAAGAAGTATTCCAAAATATTGAGGCTGAATCCATTCCTTTTTTCTATTTTCCAAATTTTCTCTAGTGTGGTTACATTACATTTATAACAAAATAAACTCTGGGAGTCTTTTGCTGGATAAGTTGATGAAGGACTGAAAACTTGAACTTTCATCATGAGTATCTTTTCTCTTTCCTTTTAGGAGGTACAAGCTAATGTTAGTACTAACAATAACTACAACAGCAATACTGGTTAAGAGTTTACATCCAAGGCACTGCGCTAATATCATATTTAATATTCACAATACCTCTATGAAATAGTAACTTCTATTATTCCACATAACAAATAAGGAAATTGAGGCACAGAAGTTAGTAGCTTACCTAAATTAACAAAGTCAATAAATGATAATAGATCTGAGATCCAAGTTTAAGTCTCTCACAATGTTAACATTTGCTAATTCAAGGAATACATTATTAGTCTTACTATATCTCTTAGCTTTTTGGGAGGGAGGGAGGAAGGAAGGAATAAGATAGAGATGGAGGGAGGAATAGAGATAGGATAAACTCTGAATTGGCAATTATAATTGGCTGCGAGAATATTCTCACCAATTAGGAGACCACACGTGGGGTCAACAGCAGCAGCAGCTCACTCTCACTGAGCAGTTCTGAGCTGCAACCCCTGCTACATATAATCTCTTTTCTAGGAGAGGACACCAAGGCACAGAGAGGCTAAGGAGCCAGTCAGAGCTGAGATCTGCACCTGAGCAGTCTGATGCAGAATCCAAGTTCTTGAGAGCTGCACTCAACTTGGTTCCAGACATTCCCTAGTGCCTGCCACATGCTAGAGATATTACAGACATAGCCCCAGCTTTCATGCAGCTGTCAGCCTAGCGAATGTAAAATAGTCAAAAGGAACTTGGGCTTTATCTTTAATGTTAGAATTATTTAAAATAAAAATTGGTTTACATAATTAAAAGGAAATCACAGAATATTTATTGCTGACTCCAAAGCTTATCATCTTAACTATATGACCTCCTTAATTTAAAAAAGGCGATAAAGCCGAAACCGGTTTGGCTCAATGGATAGAGCGTCCTCTTGGGGACTGAAGGGTCCCGGGTTCGATTCCGGTCAAGGGCATGTACCTTGGTTGCGGGCATATCCCCAATAGGGGGTGTGCAAGAGGCAGCTGATCGATGACTCTCTCTCATCGATGTTTCTAACTATCTCTCTCCCTTCCTCTCTGTACAAAATCAATTAAAAAAAATATATTAAAAAAGGCGATAAAACATAGACACACAAAACCATACAGAACACAGAGACACCAAACAAATTGCATAAAATACATTTATTTCATATTACAGTTAAGTAGTAAGGATAAATTCATTTTATATAATATTTGGTACTTAATATTATATGACGTTCTAGTAAAGGGTTTTCTGAGAAAAGGGGAATGAAGAGAAAGCCATAAATTAGAGGAGTTGCAATTTCCGTTGGGCTTTGGGAAAACCACTACCTACGTTGTGAAGGTGGTCATTTTCAGCTGCTGACTGATGAAAGGGATGGAGTGGGAAAAGGGAACGCTGCAGGAAAGAGGGAAAGAGGGCTCTGAAAGAGTACCTGAAGGTGGCAGCGAATGGCACACACATGGGAACAAGATGGGAGGCAGGGCAGGTAATGACGGTGAGAGAGTTAGATGATGTCCTTGGGGCTACAAAAAAGAAACACCTTGGTTCTGAGCCAGAGAGCAATGGGAACACCTTTTAATCTGGTGGTTAAAAGGGAGGAAGCGCTTTAGTGAAGCTTCATTTGTGGGGACTAAACACAGAGAATTCGTCCCAGAGAGGTAGATTCCTAACCCTAAAGTGGGCAGGGTGGGAAGAAACACTCAGATTAAAGTGAGGCTTGACCGGCAGACCGAGGCAAACTCTGAGCACACAGCGGGGCAGGCCCCCCGCTTTTTAAGCATACATTTATAAAGCTCTGGGAATGGCATGGGATAGGCCAGAGAGTTCCAACCAAGACTGGATCCCAATGGCAGCAAGTGAATCTCTGGTACTCACCGTTCCAGCACCTGCTTTTATCCATCTAAGCAGCCTATGAGGCTACAGGAAGCAATCCCAAGAAGTGTGTTCCACTTATACTTATTTACATTTGAAGAAACAGGGTCTCTTTTTATTTTTTTAACAAGGAACTCTTATAAGGCGAAACAACTTCTAATAGCAAAAGCACAGTCTTAGCATTTAAAATAACTAAGAAAAATGGCATTATTTGAGGCAGAGCCAATAAGCTGGGTATACTGAACGTACAGTACTTCCAGTCCTCACGGCTATATACTGAATGGTCTGCTTCTGGTTTAACAGCAGCTAAGGGTATGAAATAGTCATGTGATGCAATAGTAAAGAACAGGTTAATGCAGGATACAGTTCCCATACTGGAGTTCACTAGGAAATAGAGATACTCACAGATTGAAGTTTCTTCTTAGCAGCTTTTGCCAATTCAGACAAATCCAGGCTGCTAAGAAAATGTACAAAACTAATAAGCAAATAAATAAAATCTTTTTTGTGTGTGTGTGTGAACTCTGTAAAAGATAAAGTTGGCCAAGGGAGCAAAACATTAGAGTTCATGGATATGGTCAGAGCCAAAAATTCTATAGCCCAAAAGAGTCCATGAGGAAACTTTGAACAGAATAACTTGGTGAAAATAACTCCTTCTAGAAATACTATCATCACCCTGGCCGGTTTGGCTCAGTGGATAGAGCATCAGTCTACAGACCAAAAGAGTCCTGGGTTCAATTCCAGTCACAGGCACGTACCTTGGTTGCTGGCTCCCAGCCCTGGTTGGGTGCATGCAGGAGGCAACCAGTCGATGTGTCTCTCTCACATCAATGTTTCTCTCTCTTTATCTTTCCCTCTCTGTCTTTCTCTAAAATTCAATGGGAAAATATCCTCAAGTGAGGATTAAAAATAATTAAAAACTGAAATATCATAATCATGTAATATGTTAAAAGAAAAATAATCACCTACTAACTAAAAGACAAATAAGAGCCAAAGCCGGTTTGGCTCAGTGGTAGAGCGTCGGTTTGCGGACTGAAAGGTCCCAGGTTCGATTCCGGTCAAGGGCATGTACCTTGGTTGTGGGCACATCCCCGGTAGGGGGTTTGCAGGAGGCAGCTGGTCAATGTTTCTCTCTCATCGACGTTTCTAGCTCTCTATCTCTCTCCCTTTCTCTCTGTTAAAAATCAATAAAATATATTTTTTAAATAAATAAATAAAAGACAAATGAGAAAAGTCACCATTTTTGAAGTATTAAAAAAAAGCATGGTAGAAGAAAATATCAAAAGGGCAGAATGTGAAAAACCAGAATGGCAAGATTACATCTAGAATAGCAATTAATCATTTCATAAACTCTTGACAGTATTTGGGCAAAGATAACTGGCTAAATTAAGGGTTCATTCCTGCAGCTTTGAAATCATCTGACCTTACAGATACAGCCCACCTTTTGTTTAGCAATGAGCTAAAATGTGTACATTTTTAAATGGTTGGGGTGGGGGCAAGGAAGAATAGTATTTCATAATTTGTGAAATTACATATAAAATTCAAATTTCAGTATCTGAAAATAACATTTTATTGGAACAGGCATGCCCTTCATTTACATAGTGTCATGGATGCTTCATCTACATCAGCAGAGTTGAGTAGTTGTGACAGAGGCTGTATGGCCCCAAAAGTCTGAAATGTTTACTATCTAGCCTTTAACAACAACATAAAAACTTGCCAATCCCAGTTATAGACAAAGAATATACTCTCTTATAATAAAGAAATATTCTTTGAACATAATCTATAGACATACTGTCACAACTAATACATGGACTCCAATTTTCATATTAGTAAATTTACTTGTGCTCTTTCAAACTTAAGTTTTATATGGTGGTTTACTTACAGCCGTCTTATTTCCAAATTGTATAGCCATAAAAAAGAAAAATGTATGGGCTTGTTAAACACAAAATATTATACACTTAAACACTATACAACCAAGGAAATATTTGAGACAGATAAAATTAATTGGTATTTAAATGACCTTACCTGTCTGCCATTTGAGGTATTATAAAGTGCTGTCCATTTTTGTGATCTGAAACAGAAACCAAGGCAGTTTGTTCATATAAATATTGGTAAGATCTGTAAAGGAGCACCGCCATTCTTTTCTCAGTTTGTTTTGTAATTAGTATCTTTCCATAATTATGAATTATGTGGGGGAACTTAAGTTGCCAAACTGGCTACAAGTTCCCGAAGACTTGGCTAGTAGCAAGGATTGTATTCTCCTTTTCCTTCTGGTACAGAAGTCTAGAAATCATTGAGCAGAAAGCCCACTCTCACTCTAATCTTTATGCTTTGTTCATCCCCAGTGTAAGTGATGACCTTCAGCCTTTGAAAGAAAGCTTAGGGAGCTGAATTAGGTCACAGCAGGCTTCCATTAGCTCTCCAGGTGGCATGGGCGGGGTTCTTTGAGCTTTGGCGGCTCACCTTCAAATTAATCTATACTAATAAAAGAATAATATGCTAATTAGACCGTTAGACCGGGCTGACGGGACATCTTCCTGACGTCCAACTTCCTTCCAGACAAAGCAATGGTGGTGGTGGGGAGGGGGTGAGGGGGGAGGGGCGAGGCAGACAGGGGTAATCAGGCTGTCAGGGGAGCAAGCAGGGGAGCAAGCAGTTAGGGGCGCGATCAGGCTGGTATGGAGGTGCAAGCAGTTAGGGGTAATATCAGGCCAGCAGGGAAAGGGAGTTGGGGGCGATCAGGCCAGCAGGGGAGCAGTTAGGGGTTTAGGCAGGGAGGTGAGCAGTTAGGAGCCAGCGGTCCCAAATTGAGGAGAGTGCAGGCTGGGCTGAAGGACAACCCACCCATGCATGAATTTCATGCACCGGGCCTCTAGTCTATAATAAAAGTGTAATATGCAAATTGACCAAATGGCGGAACAGTGGAACCACCATCGGGACAACATTCCAGAAGAAGCCAGGGTAGCAAGGGCTGTGGCAGCCAGGGTCTCAGCCCTTGCACAAATTTCATGCATTGGGCCTCTAGTCAATTAGTATAAAAGTCTGGACTGGGACAGGTGGTCTTGGCAGGTCCAGGCAGGGGGTGTTTTCTACAATGTTAGCTAACTCCATTCTAATACAGCTTCTGGAAAAACACTGATCATATGTCAATGAATAAAGCCACTATAAGCCTTCACATATAGGTTTTTGTATAAATATAAGTTTCTCTTGGGTATATCGGATACCTAGGAGTAGGATTACTAGGTTATAAATAAATATATGTTTAACTTGGCAAGAAACTTTTCCATAGTAGTGTATCATTTTGCTTTCTGTTCAGCAATGTATGGGAGTTAAAGTTGTTTCTTGCTGAAACCGGTTTGGCTCAGTGGATAGAGCGAAGGCCTGTGGACTGAAAGGTCCCATGTTCGATTCCGGTCAAGGCATGTACCTTGGTTGCGGGCACATCCCCTGTGGGGGGTGTGCAGGAGGCGTCTGATTGATATTTCTCTCTCACCGATATTTCACTCTCTCTCTATCCTTCTCCCTTCCTCTCTGTAAAAAAATCAATAATATATACACACACACACACATATATATATATATACACATTTTTTTTAACTTGTTTTCCATCTTCACCTGAACTTGAATTGTCAGGTTTTTAAATTTTTACTTGTATTTTAGTAATTATAATATGTGGTGGCATTTCACTGCAGTTTTAATTTGCAATTCCTTAATGACTAATGATGCTAAGCTTCTTCATTATTATTTTTTAGATTTATCTTTATTGTTCAAAGTTATACAGATGTACCCTTCCCTCCCCACTCTCCCCCCTCCCCCCGTTAACCCCTTCTAACCCACCTCCTTCCCCTGCCCCGGGCCTTCACCACATTATAGTCTATGTCCATGTGTTATGCATATATGCACATAAATTATTTGGTTAATCTCTTCTCATCCACCCACCCACACACCCACTCACCCCTGCCTTCCCTTTGAGATTCCATGTCAATGGATCTATTTTGTTCATCAGTTTATTTTGTTCTTTAGATTCCACATATGAGATCATGTGATACTTGTCTTTCTTTGAGTGGTTGATTTATTTGTCATCTGTATATTGTCTCTGCCCTGTATTTATTTCTTACTGTTGAGTTTTAAGTATTCTAGTTCCAAGAAAGTTGTATAAATATTCTGGATCCTTTGTTGGATATGTTATTTCCACATACTCTCTCCTAGTCTGTGGCTTGTTTTTTCATTATCTTTTTTGTTGTTGTTAATATATTTTTATTGATTTAAGAGAGGAGGGAGAGGGAGAGGTAGAAACATCAATGATGAGAGAGAATCATTGATCGGCTGCCTCCTGCACATCCCCTACAACCTGGTCATGTGCCCTTGACTGGAATCAACCCTGGGACCTTTCAGTTTTCAGGCTGACACTCTATCCACTGAGCAAACTGGCTAGGACTCTTTTCATTATCTTAACTAATTGTTACAGGGCAAAATTTTTAAATTTTGACTAAGTCCAATTTATCAACATTCTATTTTATGGCTTATCCTGTCGATATTACAACCAAGTTCTTTACCTAGTCAAAGATCACAGTTTCTCCTGTGTTTTCTTCTAGTTTCTAGTTTTATGTTTTTATTTAGATATATGATCCATTTTGAAGTCTAAAGCCCTAATCTCTACTCACTCTAAAATGGGCAACTAGAGGGTTAGGCTTTCTTTTTTAAAAATTTTTATTTTATTTATTTTTTTTAATCCTCACCCGAGGATATTTTTCCATTGGTTTTTAGAGAGAGAGGAAGACAGAGGGGAAGACAGAAATATTGATGTGAGAGAAACACATCAACTGGCTGCCTCCTGCACGAGCCCAGGTACGTACGTACCCTTGACTGAAATTGAACCCGTGACCGTTTGGTCCACAAGCCAACTACCTGCTGAGTCAAACTGGGAGGGGCAAGAGTTTTAGACTTTATTTAAAAAAAAAAACATTTGTATTGAACAGAAACATCGATCGACTGCCTCCTGCACACCCACTTCTGGGGATTGAACTGGCAACCTTGTCGTATCAGAATAATGCTCTTTCCAGCTGAGCTACCTGGACAGGGCCTTATAAGATCATATTTAAGGTGGGTATCTTGTAGACAGCATACAGTTAGGGCTTGTTTTCTGTTTTAAATTTTCTGATAATGTCTGCTTTTAATTGGTGTGTTTAGCTCAGGAACATTTAGTGTCATTATTGCAATGTCTGGATGTAAGTCTATGATTGTACTAGTTTCTGCTTGGGCCTCAGTTTTTTGTTCCTCTCTCCTTTCTTCTTCTTTTTTTGAATATTTTTCAATCAAAATATCTTTCGTTTATTTGATTGACTTTTAATATTCTATTTTATTTCTAGAATTTTTGAGCATATATCATTGTATGTAGTCTTTTTTTAGTGGTTGTGCTAAGGGATTATAATACACAAATTTTTACATTGTACTTAGAAATAGCATTTTATCATTTTAAGAAGGCAATTTTACCGCCATATTTTATGTTGTAGTCTCCCTTTTTATGTTGTAGTTGTCAAATTTATTACATTGACATATGCTGAAAACCCCACCAGATGTTATAATTTTAACTTTAAACTATCATATATGTCTTAAAGAATTTAAGGGGAAAACAGCTGTTATTTTTATCCAGATACTTATCATTTCTGATGCTTTTCTTTCATTCCTTAAAGTTCTAAGATTCCTCCCACTATCATTTCCCTTCTACTCAAAGAACTTGCTTTATTTAGCATTTCAGCTAGACCAACCAATTCTCTTCTTTTCCTTCACCTTAAAATGTCTTTTTTTTTTTTTGCTTCATTCCCGAGTTATTTTCACTGAAAAATGGAGTCCTGGATTGACAACTCTTTTTTGTTTCAGCACTTCAAAAATATTGTTCTATCTTTTTTTTCATATCATTGGTTTCTGATGAGAAATCTAGTCATTGAAGTAATTGTTCTTCTAGGTGTCATTTATTTTCTTGCAGTTTCAGAATGTTTTGTTGTCTTTGGTTTTCAGCAGTTTGATTTTAATATATCTGAGTGACAATTTATTTGAGTTTATTCTTTTTGGAATTCTTTGAGCTTCTTAAATCTATAAGCATATTTCTTTTGCCAAATTTAGTTTTTAGCCAATATTTCTTTAAGCATTTTTTCTGTATCACACTCTGATCTCTTTCTGGGAATCTGCTGATACAAATGTGACCTTTTGCTATTGTTCCACAGGTCCCTAGTTTCATTTTTCTCCCACTCTTTTTTTCTCTCTATTTTTCAAAACAAGATAATTTCTAGCGATCTATTTTCAATTAGTCGCTCTTTTATCATCTCCAATCTGATATTAAGCCTATCCAGTGAATTATATTTTTTCAGTTGTAATATTTCTATTTGGTTCATTTCTTTATCTTCTATTCCCTATGCTGAGATTTTCTACATTTCTATTTGTTTCAAGATGTTCACACTTTTTAGAGCATGGTGTTCCTGTTTGCTTAAAATTTTTTGTCTGATAATTCCAACAACTGGGTCATCTGAGGTTGGTGTCTATTGACTACTTTTTCCTTACAAGTATTTGGGATTTCCCTAGTGTCAAGTCATTATGAATGGTATCTTGGACATTTTAGTTATTTTTTAAATTTTTAAAAAAATATATTTTATTGATTTTTTACAGAGAGGAAGGGAGAGAGATAGAGAGCTAGAAATGTCGATGAGAGAGAAACATCGACCAGCTGCCTCCTGCACACCCTCCTCTGGGGATGTGCTGGCAACCAATGTACATGCCCTTGACTGGAATCGAACCTGGGACCTTTCAGTCCGCAGACCGACGCTCTATCCACTGAGCCAAATCGGTTTGGGCTATCTTGGACATTTTAAATATTATGTTGTGAAACTGAGTCTTCCTTACATTTTATGGACAGTATTAATTTTTTTTTAAAAATATGTTCTTATTGACTTCAGAGAGAGAGAGAAACAGAAACATCAATGATGAGAGAGAATCATCAATTGGCTGCCTCCTGCATGTCCTACATTAAGGAGTCGAGCCCCCAACCCAGGCATGTATCCCACCTGGGAATCAAACCATGACCTCCTAGTTCATGGGTCGATGCTCAACCACTGAACCACACTGGCTGGGCAGTATTTTTTTTTTTTTAGTAGGTTAGGTTCTACCTCCTGGGCCAAATGATGAGAGAATACAGAGAAAAATAAAAGCAATCAGGATTCCCCTCATGCTTTTGGCCAGAGATTTAGGCTGATTTAGCCACAGGACTGCCTTGGGGCTAGGGCAGTGGTCGACAAACTGCAGCTCACGAGCCACATGCAGCTCTTTGGCTCCTTGAGTGTGGCTCTTCCACAAAATACCATGTGCGGGCGTGCACATACAGTGCGATTGAAATTTCACGGCCCGTGTGCAGAAGTCGGTTTTCGGCGTGGGCGAGTCTATTTTGAAGAAGTGGCATTAGAACAAAGAAGGAGCCAAAGAGCCGCATGTAGCTCACGAGCCGCAGTTTCCCGACCACTGGCTAGGGGAAGGGAGGAAAAAAATAAAAAGGGAATCCTCCAAGTCTGTCCTGCAGGAGTCCTACTTCAACCAGACGGAGGCGGCTTCTTTGCATTTGTTATATAGTTCCAGTTTCAGGCTGCCGTAGAGGCCTTATCAGGAGTACACGGCACTCACCACCAGCTTGATGGTACCTTGAATTCCCTAATCCAGAGCTAGAGTCCTTAAATAGCTATTCCATGCATCTGGTCCAGGGTTTTTAATTATATTCTAGAGAGACAGGGTGGGTGTGCTCACTCCATCTCACCAGGAACTGGCCCCACAATCAGGGGCTCCTAACTCTATGTACAACCAGAGTGGAGAACCACTATGCACATGTATGTGGATATTGTACATCAGGGGTTGGCACATTTTTTCTGTAAAAGGCCAGATAAATATTTTAGGCTCTTTTTGGCTATATGGTTTCTGTCACAACTACTCAATCTACTCAGCTCTGCTTCTATAGTGCAAAAGCAGCCATAGACAATATAGTATTGGCCTGGCTATCTTGCAATAAAACTTTAAAAACAGGTCATTGGCTAGATTTGACCCACTGAACCATGGTTTAATGACCCCAGTTCCACCTCAAAAATAAAGGTGGTTAAAGGCAAAATTCACTTTTGGACTTTTTTACATTCCTTAGACAGAATTCTTCAAATAATTACAAAAGTGAATTCTTTGCTCTTGCATTCCTAGTCCCAATACATGCCAAGAACTGTGATGCACATTCAGTTTTGGTTTAATTATGCACTTTGATATGTGAAACAGTCACTATCTAGAGCTAAAATAAAATTATAAAAGCTAAAATTCAAGGAGATTTGACTAATATCTTTTATGTAAAACTGAAAATGCTGTAGTTATCATTTCCAATAGAAATCTTATTCACAGGGCTCTGGAGGATATGTTAAAGCAGAGGTCATAAATAATAGTGCCCCAACTTGTTTTTCGAGAGACTGACTAACTGGAGGTGTGGAGAGGCTGAGGTCCTTTCACTCACCTGGTTTCCTGCCACAGAGATAAAAGGCTAGTCTGTCCGTCAGCTCATACTGTATTTCTACAAGGCGATCTGCCAGCTCATGGTGCCCTCCTTGCCTACCAAGAGAAAACAAAGTACCATTTATATTGCTCACCAGCCAATGGCTCTAGAATAAAAAAGGACAGAGATGTCTCCTGAGCAACCTGAGCAATTATCAAACATGACTTTTTAGAATAATCAACCTTTTTGTGTGAGGTAAACTGTCAAGGTCTATTTGATTCCCATATTTATAAACTGTTCTCATAATCTGAAATACTCCTTATTCTTTTATGTAAAAGGCAGAATACTTAATAAAGAATTCAAGGACTTATCAGGTAAATAATAACTTCATCTAATGAGGTAGAAGATAAAATTAATAAATGGTCTAGGATAGAGATTCTCAAAAATTAATAAAAGTGTTTTAAAATTTATAAAATTTATACAGCTACCCGGCCCCACCCCTGGAAATTCTGAATCCGTGAATATGGATGAGTACGGACATCAATATGTTAAAGATGGTTTTTCCACTAGATGTGCCGATGGAGCCCGTCTGACCGGGATGAGAGTTTATAACATGTGGTCCTCAATTCAGAGACACAGACCAACCTAACACACACCTGTAGCTTTCGCCTCCTTATCTTCAATTTTCCATAACAGAAAATATTAAGTTTGCCTTTCTTCATTCATGAAATAAATATATAAGCTGCTTGAAGTCCTTTTAGTAACAAGGCACATATGCTTGGTACCCATGAAAAAAATCCTACTGTAAATGACAATATCATATACTGAGGGCTCTCTTACTCTTAAAAGATGAAGTTAGTTTTTGTCAGTTTCTCTTTCTACCATTCAAGGCACTACAAAACATTCTCCCTATCGCACAACTTTGATTCTGTGATACACATCTTCCCACCCCCCCATTTTGTAAACATCTATGAAATCAGGAAGTATCTTACAATTAATGATACTCATCATTTAATTGGCCAAGTTTTTTAGTGGCATATAAAATAATGAATGACCGTACAAACAGTGGAGTCTTAGATCTGATTAAACACTGTAGCTCTTTATTCCCAGACAATTCTGTGCCATCCAGTCAGGTCCCCTGCTGTGATGAGTATGGCCTGCCTATGCCTTCTTCCCGAACTTGACTCATGTCGTTCTTCTCCCCTGGAATGCCTGAGCTCTTCCTTCATACACCCAAATCTAACCCATTCTTCAAAGACCAAGTAAAAAAAATTTCTTAATGATTTGGCTGCAATGAGGAAACCTATATATGACTTTTAAGACTAGTTATCCATTTTGGCAAACAAATTCCACACTATCTTGCCCCATTTAGCTCTTTTATGCATTTATGAATAATCTATTCCATGGAACAGTAAATTCTAGGAAGGCAGAGTTTTGTCATTTCACCCATTTTATCCTCTGTAGAATAAAAATGCTTTGCAATTAATTTAGAAAAAGAAGAAAAGCCAAAACCGGTTTGGCTCAGTGGATAGAGCGTCAGTCTGCGGACTGAAAGGTCCCAGGTTCAATTCCGGTCAAGGGCATGTACATTGGTTGCGAGCACATCCCCAGGAGGGGGTGTGCAAGAGGCAGCTGGTCGATGCTTCTCTCTCATCGATGTTTCTAGCTCTCAATCCCTCACCCTTCCTCTCTATAAAAAAAAAAAAAAAAAAATCAATAAAATATATTAAAAAAAAAAAAAAAGAAAAAGAAGAAAAGATGAGCTACATAAACTCTAGAATTGACATTTTACTATAATTGTTTAATCACATATCTACCTACTTATACACATTTGTTTTTAAGTTTAAGCAATGGTTAAAAATATATAAAAATTGAGGCGTGGGTTCTGCCATTCCTAGTACTTGATTTGTAGTATAACTATGGCTTAAATACCATATCATTATAAAGAATCACATGAAAATTGGAAGCTAAGCAGACTGTTACTGTTCTACTTTCCCAGGTTATGAGCTGATATTCATTTGAAAAGTCATCTAAAAATAGCTGCATGTAAATCTTTAGAAGGGGTTAAATGTTAACTATATGCAATTTAGCAACTTAACAATGAATCATACAAAACACAAAGAAGCCCAAACAGAGAGAAGCGACAAGAATCTAGGTCTCTCACCTTGCATAATCAACAGGAGTTTTCCCACTGGAATCCTGAGTGCCTGGGTCTGCTCCATATACCGCCAGTAATTCCGCCTGTAAAATCTGTCCTGCTTTGGAGGCAACATGGAGTGGGGTGTTTCCTTTTTCCTAAGGATCATTAAGAAAATGGAGGGGAAAAAGCAAATTTAATAAAGAAAAGGCTACACAAACACAACCCACTTAGTTTCAATTTAATATGTAGATCAATTCCTGCTGACTTACAGGGTGAAAGAAGTTGGCTTGTGCTCCTAAAGATAACAGCCTCAAACAGGTTTCAAGATTCCCTGTTCTCACGCTTGAATGGAGTTGCTGAAAAACACACAAACAAAAAAGGAATGCTGTTAAAGTGTGAAGAGTGATATACTAGAGCAGCTGGCAGACCATGTATGTGTTAGTCATACTTAGCTCAGTAAGGGGATGAAGCAGTCTCTCCCTTGCTGGTAACAACCATCCCTGGACACTAAGGCAGAGTCAGGCCCATTTTATTGATAAGGAAACTAGGGCTGGGAAGGCTGACCTGCTCAAGACCTCTCTAAGTGGCACAATTATACCTTGAGCAAGAGGTAGTATGGAGAGGTGGCTGAGCATGGCTCTGAAGTCTGATAGACCTGAATTTCACACCATATAAACCTTTAAGCTGTGTGACTTTGAGGAGATTCATTAAGCAATCTGAGCCCCAGTTTCCTCATCTTTAAAATGCCAATAATAATGCCACCTATTCACAGGGTTACTGTAAGGAGTTAATGGTACAGTAAGGTGCCTCGCACAGAACCTGGTACATAGGAAATATTTAAAAAAAAAAAAAAAAAAAACACAAAACACCTGTTATAGTATTACTGTTATTGTATTATCATTATTTATTTTTTTAGAGAGTGTGGAAGGGAAGGGAGAGGAGAAACATCAATTGGTTGCCTCCCACATGCACTCCAACTGGGGATTGAACCCGCTACCTGGGCATGTACCCTGACCAGAAGTCGAACCCACAACCTTTCAGTGCACGGGACAACACTCAACCAACTGAACCATAAGAGTAGGACAGCCATTAATACTGCAGAGTTCTGCTTTATATTGCATCCTTCCCACACCACTATTTTTGACCTTGTATACAATGCTCTAATGAAGTCTTTCAGGTGGAAATGGGCCCGTAGCATACCAAATTTTGCACTATTGAAGAAAAGTATTTATACATTCAGAAGATGAGCTGCCTTCAATTCTGACCAAATTGTTGAAATGCAATAACCCTTATCATAGGAATAAAGATATCTATTCTAACATCGTTATCTAAGCCTTATTTTTAAAATTTATTTTACTTTTAAAACCTGTGATGAAAAAACACATCTTACTAATAATCAGAAGTAACAAGAAATGGAAGCAGCAAGAAACAAAAAGCCAAAACTGGTTTGGCTCAGTGGATAGAGCGTCGGCCTGCAGACTCAAGGGTCCCAGGTTCGATTCTGTTCAAGGGCATGTACCTTGGTTGCGGGCACATCCCCAGTAGGGTGTGTGCAAGAGGCAGCTGATTGATGTCTCTCTCATCGATGTTTCTAACTCTCTATCCCTCTTTCCTTCCTCTCTGTAAAAAATCAATAAAATATATATTTTAAAAGAAATAAATAAAGAAATAAAAATTTTAGGCAAAGTTTAAAATTCTGAACTGTGAGCTGAAGCCGATTTGGCTCAGTGGATAGAGCGTCGGCCTGTGGATTTGAAAGGTCCCAGGTTCGAGGTTGGGGAGATGTGGGAAAGATAAGAGATCAACCAAAGGACTTGTATACATGCATATAAGTACAACCAATGGACACAAAACTTTGGGGAGGGAAGGTATACACGGGAAGGGGGGGCAATGGTATATGTACAAAAATAATAATGTAATAAAAATATATATTAATAAAATTAAAAAAAAAAAAGAGAGAAAGAAAGGTCCCAGGTTCAATTCCAGTCAAGGGCATGTATGTTGGTTGTGGGCACATCCCCAAGAGGGGGTGTATAGGAGGTGGCTGATCAATGGTTCTCTCTCATCAATGTTTCTAACTCTCTATCCCTCTTCTCTTCCTCTCTGTAAAAAATCAATAAAAAAAATTAAAAAAAAAAATTCTGAACTGTGAATGCTCGTGCTGTTTGTGAACATTTGCCAAAAGAGTGCTTTAAAAGCAGAGAAGCAGGTTTCTTGTAGCATCTCTCAAAAACAAGCAAAGGCCCACAGAAAGAAAACAAACTACTCATTTTATAAGTATAATAAACCACCCATGTACTACAGCTTTGAGTCATACCCTGCTTCCTGAAGATCTTCTTTTAAGTATGCAACCTAGAGACCTGAAGAAATCCCACAAACTTTCTAGTCCCTTCTAGAAACTGTGAGGGTTTCTACTTCAAAGTTAAACAAAAAACTTATCCTATCCTGTATAATAAAAGGCAAATATGCAAATCTAAGGAAATAAAACAATGGATCGCGATGACGAGCACTGACTACCAGGTGGCAGACATTCCACAGGGGGAGTGCCGCTCAGCCAGAAGCCTCTGTAGCAGGACTAAGGATGTCTTCAGACATCCCCTGAGGGTTCCCTGACTGCGAGAGGGCACAGGCCGGGCTGAGGGACCCCTGAGTGCAAGAATTTCATGCATGGGGCCTCTAGTCCTATATAATAAAAGGCCAGCAACCAAAACAGCATAACAACCGGAACAATGGATCAACCAGTTGCTATGAGGAGCATTGACGACCGCTTGGTCCCGAGCTCAAGCCCGCAGGCTCCAATCGCTGGATGGTCAACGAGGAGTGACTGGGAACCAAGGTGGCAGCGGGGCGGGACTGGGGACTGGTAAGTGGGCAGAAGGCAGACCTATTGGTCCCTTCCCCTGGCCCGCAGGTTCCAATCATGGCAAACGGGGAACCAAGGTGGGGGGTGTTGGAGTGGGATGAGAGACTGAAAAGCAGGCGGAAAGCAGGCTTCTTGGTCCTTCCCCCTGGCCCATAGGCTCCAATCGCTGGATGGTAAATGAGGAACCACAGGGAACTGGGGTGAGTGGCGGTGGGGACTGGTGAGCAGGCGGAAGATGGCCCTGAATGCAGGCTAGGCCTAGGGACCCTACCTGCACACGATTTCATACGCTGGGCCTCTAGGAGAAACATAATTTTCAAACCATATCTGAATAACACGAATAGATTTCTAGATACTTATTTTTTCTCTATGCCTTTACCTATACTGACATGAATGGCTGCCATTTGAATTAAGAATAAAGACAAAACCAACTGCAATGAAAAGCTGTTATTAGTTATTTAGTGACTAGATAACAGTTTTTGTTTTGTTTTTCTTCCTTTTAAAGTTTGTTCCCCTCCCCCCCCAAAAAAACACACAATACACTGCTTCATTCAGTAATTTTAGAGATTTTAAAAGGTGTGACCCACCTTACTGAGATCTTTGGCAGTCACACTATCATCATCCCGGCAGGGCAAACGATGAACAAATGCTAACATCTGATACTTGGCTCTGATGAATTCCGCTTTATTAGGACTGGTTGGAAAACAGAAAAAAAAAAAAACATTTCACTTGCAGTTCAGATACGACATTCCCCATTCTCTAGGCTGTAAAAAGAAGAGGAAGTGACCCACATTCCCTAATAAAATATTAGGGAATAAAATGAGCAGCACTGAAATAAGTTTACAGCAGTGGGTCTGAAAACATATTAGTAATTATAATGGCCAGGACTGAATGTCTGCTTTCTATAGCATCTCTTTTCTCTGTGTAATTTTGTAATTGACCGAACAACCAGCATTTCATCCCATCTTATAGGAAGGCATCAGGCTGACTGGAGCGCAGAACCTAGATGTCTGGTCTGACAGACCTCTTGTTTGAGTACCTAAGCCAAAATCTAATCACACCAACATCCTTTAAGCCTTAGTCTCAAACTGGAGAAACCACTGATTTGTGCTGTGTAACCACACAAGAGATGGTCCCGTGCCTGGCCTGATTCTGCATTTCTTTTTCCTTCTTTATTGATTTTTAGAGAGATAGAGGAAGGAAAGGAAAAAGAGAGAAACATCGACCCATTTTACCACTTATTCATGTATTCACTGGTTGATTGTTGTATATGCCTTGACTGGGCCTATATAACCTTGATGTATCAATGCTCTAACCCAGTGGTCGGCAAACCACGGCTCGCAAACCACATGCAGCTCTTTGGCCCTTTGAGTGTGGCTCTTCCACAAAATACCACGGCCTGGGCGAGTCTATTTTGAAGAAGTTTAGTTTTAAAAAATTTGGCTCCCAAAAGAAATTTCAATCATTGTACTGTTGATATTTGGCTCTGTTGACTAATGAGTTTGCCGACCACTGCTCTAACCAACTGAGCTACCCAGCCAGGACCCCTTGTTCTGCATTTCTAATAGCAAAGAGTTCAATGAACAATTGGGGGAACCACCTCCTGTGCTGCCCTGTGGAGGCTGGTCAAAAATAGCTGCGCTCCTTTCAGTGGGCCCATGTGTCCCAAAGAAATAAAAGTATTTATAAACATTCCACTCACTGTACTTTATCCTGTGGATTAGCTTTACGTCTTCCACTCATAATAGAGGCAGGATCCAGCAAAGAATGCTCCCATATTGAGTTAGCACCATTATTATATAAGGTTTCAACCATCTAAAAGCAAACAGTATAACATCATACTTTAATTTTTTTCCACAAATATTCAGTGGTAATCAATGACTGAACAAGAAAAACAAAGCTCCATTACAAAAACTAGCATGACTGGCATCACACACATCATCTTTTTCTGATTTTAGAGCTGAAAGGTGAACCTTTATACAGAATTCAGATTTGACCAGTAGGATACCTAAATATCTAAATGGGTTTGATTATGTTGTTCTTATAGATTAACAGAGGCAGGATTCACAAAATTCATGCAAGAGGAGGCCTTCCTTTCCCCGGCTGCCGCACTAGCTTTTCACTCTGGCCGCAGACAGGCACCGGGCTTTATCCGGAAGGTCGTCCAGTCTAATTAGCATATTACGCTTTTATTATTATAGATGAAGGAAAAGTACTTTGACACTTTAAGGCAATGTTTTCCACGACTGGTTATCCAAATACTATTTATAAGATTCCTAACAATCTATGTACCATCTAGACTATCAACTTGGTATTTTTCTTTAAATCCACTCATTTTTAAAACTTTTTCTAGCAATTATGGTATAATGTGTTACTTATAGCTTTCATATACACATTAATATAATGCAACCTCCAAAATAAAAATTAGAGTATTATCTATATCTGTCTTGAGTACCACCGGGGTTTCATGTATCATATTTTGGTAAAAGTTTTAGGGTCAACCCTGGCATTTTAAACTACTCATCTCTAGACTTTATTCAGACCCTCTAACAAAAATCTGTAAACGCAGACCTGAGAACAGTAAATACCCACTTACTTGCGCAAAGAATGAGCTGTTAGAAACTTGTGAGTAAAAGTTATTAATAAACCATATCTTCCAATTTCATTTCAAAGCATGACGGCTAACATGGCCCCATCTGTTTTTTTACATTAGTGGAGATATCAGAGACCCAAACCCACTTGTTCTGGTCCCTTAGTTTGTACAGGCACTGTTAAAGGACATGTTATGCAGCTGCCACAGACTTAGTAAAATATGTACTCAAGACAAAGGAAGGGGAAACACATGCTTAATTCTCTGCTCCAACAGAACTTGGAGAATGTGTATCAGAAAATAGAAATACAGGTGACGTGACACTGAATCACAAGTAAAACAACACACAACACTTAGCAGAGTGTTAGGTGATCCATCAAAACATGTTAATTGAATTTGTTCTCTAACTAGTAACAACTTTAAATCAGATGTTTCAGAAATTTCTGAGGAATCCCATTCTGTGCTTCTATCAAAGGAGGAAAAGAAGTGCTAAAAATATCAGCAGGTACTGAGGGATAAGTACATTAACAAAAGTTTGTAAAGCAGTAGCTTTCACCACGGTATGTGGAAACGATGAGGTGTTTAAAAACAATTTCTGGAGACATTCTAGAAAGTTAGCAGTGAAGCAGTACCAAGAAATTTGAATGGTGATGGATTTAAGATAAACACAGCACTCTATTCCGTTACCATTCAAACATTTTTGTATGATTTAAGGAAAAGTAGGGGAAACTTTAGTTGCTAAAACAATGAGCCCTAAAAACTTAAATCACAAACTACGAGAAAAAGTCTTCCTTCACCTGCAGCAACGTAGGCGGCCACGGCGTGTGCTTCAGATGCCTTACTTGAGAGATGTGGCGCCCCAGACTCCGGTGGACGCTGCAGCACTCGTCGCATATAAAAGTCCCCCTGTTTACTGATGCCCAGGAAGGATCTGGAAAGAAAGTGAAATCTCAGTGGCGAGGATACCAGTTGGTTGCTTTACTGCCAGACGGCAAAAGAGACTGAGGTAAGGTTTTTCAGAAAAAAGGCATTTTTGTTGCTTTAGTATACTATAATAATCAATCCAGCTGGTGATGCAACCTATCTTGCCTGGTTGGGTACAATGTTAATTGAGACTGAAAACTCGAGTTGAAATCCTCTATAAGCAGTTATCTCCTTTCTGGTGCAGAGCCACAGTCTGAAGCCCTAATGGGATCTACCACCTCAGATACGTGCTCTTTCATTCAATATGAGAAGCAAATTGAGAGGATATAGATGAATCATTTTATCCATCTCCACAAATGGCAAAATAATATAACTGTGACAGTGAATAACCCACATAGCATCATCCAAAGAAAATGGTGAAAAGATTGCTGCAAATCTATATGCCTATCTGCGTAGCAGAAAGCTGCAAGTGACAAAACTATAAAACTGCTCAGCTGTTGTGGTTGTGATGACTGACTGGGAAATCTGGCCTCCTCCACTGGAGAGATGCTCCAGGACCGTGGTAGGCAAACTATGGCTCGAGAGCCACATACGGCTCTTTGGCCTCTTGAGTGTGGCTCTTCCACAAAATACCACAGCCTGGGTGAGTCTATTTTAAAGAAGTTTAAGTTTAAAAAATGTGGCTCTCAAAAGAAATTTCAATCGTTGTACTGTTGATATTTGGCTCTGTTGACTAATGAGTTTGCCGACCACTGTTCTAGAATATCCATCAATTGTTTTAAATAAACTACTGGGGTTTGACTGATGTGGCTAAGTGGTTGAGCATCGATCTATGAACCAAGAGTTCATAGTTCGGTTCCCAGCAAAGCACATGCCCGAGTCGTGGGCTCCATCCTTAATAGGAAGCAACCAATCAATGACTCTCTCATCATTGGTGTTTCTATCTCTCTCTTTCCCTTCCTCTCTGACATCAATAAAAAATATATTAAAATAAATAAACTACTGAGTCCAATCTTGCAACTGCTCTGAAAGAACAGATCTGTAATAGCAGTGGCTTCAAAGAAGCAGAGATGTCTAATAAAAATGAGTGGTATTTTTGGTGTACATAATACTTTTTTCCTATGAAGTTTTAGAGACAGCTATTGAAACAAAAATAATCCACATTGGATAAGTACACTGGATACCTAGAAACAGGAAGAAAAAGAAAGAAAGAAAGAAAGAAAGAAAGAAAGAAAGAAAGAAAGAAAGAAAGAAAGAAAGAAAGAAAGAAAGAAAGAAAGGGAAAAAAAGAAAGAGAAAAAGAAAAAGAAAAAAGACCTACATTTCATCAAACTCACAATGGAGTGACAATAGGTGCCACACAAGCTCCCTGGTCTAAGGGTTATATTTTAAAAGTTCTCCAATGTCCACAAAAATCTCTAAAATACATGTACACCATCTTTACCATTTTTAACAGTTTATTCAAATCCTTTCCAACCATATAATGAAAAGTTATGGGATTTCAATCAAAGACAAATCCTAGGAGTCAGAGAGTGTGGTGGTTAAGAGAACTGGCTCTGGAGACAAGCAGTCCAGGGTTTGAACCCCATCTCTCCCACTAAGCAAGTTATTTTATTTATTTATTTATTTATTTATTTATTGAGCATCCTCACCATGAATCAAATGGGAATATAACACATCTCAGGATAGTGAGGATATAAAAAGTCAGTAAAGTTGCTTGCATATAGTAAGTAATGTAAGTCTCAGTAATGTTTACTGTTATAACTTTTCTAAATTATTTTCTAAGTACCACTCAGATATTTTCAAGAATCCACTGAAATTCATGACCCACTGGAAAAGTTTTTTAAATTATTTTTTTAGAGAGAGAGGAAGGGAGAGAAATAGAGAGACAAAAACATCAATGAGAGAGAAAATCATTTGGCTGCCTCCTGCATAATCTCTACTGGGGATCGGACCCCCAACCTGGGCATGTGTCTGATGGGGAATTGAACCAGTGACTCGTGGTTCACTGACCGATGCTCAACTACTGAGCTACACCAGCCAGGCTGGGAAAAGTTTTGATTGGTAATACAATGTAGAATGTTTCATGTGAACATTGCATCACTATTGTAAAAGTCTCAGTAAAACTCAAAGTAGAATATATTTTAAATGAACTAGATTCTTTTTTAAGATAAAATATTTACTAAGATGTAAATATTTACAAGATGATGAAATGTTTGCCATGAAATAGAACAGAAAATAATTCAGTACTATTATGCCATTCTAAAAAGCAAAGACTGAAAACATCAAGATGAAGGATCCCTACAAACACACACATCATTGCTTTTTTGCAATATGGTACCACTACTGGTGATAAAAAAGAGATTGTTTTGAATCACAGCTTTGATTTTCACATATCTATTCAGTAGACTCACAATGTTCTTGGAGGAAATTAGACAGGAACAAGACAACTAGAACTTAATACACACTAAGCAAGGTTCTCAATTAATCACTTTAACATCATAGATCAGAATCCCATGGAAAGAACATCAGAATGTTAACATCGCAGTAAACTTGAGTTTATATAAATGATATTGGGTGAACCCCCTTCCAGATTACCTGTTTTGGTTTTTTTATTAATCCTCACCCAATGATATTTTTCCATTAATTTTTAGAGAGAGTGGAGCTGGGGAGGGATGAGAGAGAGAGACATCAATTGATTGCCTCCCGTAACCACCCCGACCAGGGCTAGAGATCAGCCTGCAAATGAAGTATGTGCCCTTGATCAGAACTGAACCCAGGACCCTTCAGTCTGCAGGCCACCGCACTATCTACTAACCCAAACTGGCGAGGGCCCTTGCAGTTTATCTGAAGCATAACGCCAGAGCTACTTAACCTGGACTCCAGGAACACAACAAATGGGCTTTGGAAATGTCTGTGATCCTACTGAGAAATCTTAAAATAAATTCTGTATGAAAGCTTAAGTATGCATGCATTTTGGGGGAAGAAGGCCTTAGTATTCATCAAAATCTGAAAGGGATTCCTAACCATAAGGTAACGTTCCCGAGGGCTTACCAAAAAAGCAGCACAAATTCCTGGCTGCTTAAGTTCACAGAACATTTCAAGGTAGCCTACTTACATTCAAAACAGGAAGGAAGTGACTCAAGTCTCATAGATTAGGCATATGAGACAAGTAAAATGACACAATAGGAGAGAAAATGTTCTGAAATGCACAAAACACGGAAGACGTGCAAGGTAGTATGGAGGGCGGCAACGGAGCCCAAGGTTTCCTTCGCCCCAGTTCCTTCGCTCAGAACTAAAAAATATGCATTCCAAGAGGAAGTTTGAATCTAGCCTCATGTGAATCAAACACATCAGACAGTTCGTTCAACTGAAAACACAAGAAATAAGGAAGTGGAACAAGTAACATTTTTAGAGACTACAATGGAGTTTGTGTAACCCACACTCACGTAGTTGGTAAAACACTTCTTTAACCTCTTCCACCCGGCTCCCTACCTTCAAAAGCAGCTGGTAACATCACCGGCACTCCCAGGCGAGGGAAGCACCGCGGAAGGCTGGAGTGATCGCGGAACTATTTAAAATCCATCCCCACTGCCATGCACCGAGATGAAGTTCAGAGCAGTTGCAAAAGCACCGCTGCTCAATGATTTATTTCATTAAGATTGTTTATTGGACGCTTTTGTGCCAAGGAAGCCATCTTACCTTTGAATTACTTCCAATTCAAAGCAGATAAACCCAAGCACCGAAAACAGCACAGAGACCTGTCAACTCGGCTCCAATCCCTAAAATGGATCTGAACTCTTAAGTCTGAAAATGACACACGGGAGGAATGGTTCTGCCTTTCCCATGCCCCCAAATGCCTGGCTGCCCGGTTTGTTTTGTAAACAGTAATCAGTGTACAATCCAGAAGTTCAACTCTAGCTTTCAGGGACTGACAGGTTCTGTTCTAAAGAACACAAGTCAGGGAGAGAGAAAACGCCACCGCCAAAGTGACGTGACCTAAGAGGGTTCGCTGAACCCTCGGAACCAGTGGCTGGGGCTCCGGCGATGCCCCCTGGAAAAAATGAGGACAGCAAGGCTCAGCCGAACGCAGCCACCGGCCCAAGGTCACCCAGAAGCAACATCCAGTTTGAACTGGGGCGCTCAGACGCCAATGCTTGAGACAGGCGTCGACTCCTGGGTGCCGGTGGCGGGTGCAAGCCGCCGACCTCCCGGAGCCTTTCCCGGGGGAGCAGAGCCCGCACGCCAGGAGCGGGGAGTCGTCCCCGGGTCGGGGGCCGGTCCCGGCCGAGGGGAGCGGCGACGGTCGCCCACTCGGGCCGGGAGGGCTCCGGCGGGCGGCGGGCGGGGGGCCGGGGGTGACACCTGCGCCCCGGGGCCGCGGCGGGGGGGACGGCCGCGCTGACTCCTGTAACTGGCCTTCCTGCGCGCTGCCCAAGCCCCTTCCTGTGGGAGATGCTGCCGGCCTCGAGCCCGCCCCTCTCCGCTAGGCCTGGGGCGGGAGGCCGGGAGGGACCGGAGGGCGGCGGCCCCCTGCCCGCCCGGCTGACAGGCCCGGGACAGCTCGCCCCCCAAGGCTGCCTCAGCGGCTCCGAGCCGCGGCCCCGGGCACACGGGGTGCAGGGCTCGGCCGCCAGGAGCCGCCTGCCCCGAGGGGGCGGCGCGGGGCAGGGGTCCCGGGCAGGAGAGCTGAGGGGAGCGGGCCCGGCCGGCGGCACTCACCCGGCCCGCTGCAGTCGGCGCACATCTCGCTGCTCCGGAGCCGCTTCGACATGGCTTCCGCCTCCTGCCTGCCGGGTGCCTGAAGCCCCGAGACAGCGACGGCGGCGGCGACGGCAGCGCTTCCGCTCTAACGGGTCCCACCGCGGCGCTGGCGGCGGCGCCTCTCCCCTCAGCGCTTCGCAGCCGCGGCGCAAGGCGCAGGCGCGCGGAGGCGCCCGCTGGCGTCCAGGGTCACGTGATCCGAACGGGCACGCTGCGTCGTCGCCATCTTGAGTGAGGGCAGATAGGTACCGGGGTCTCCCGTCCGCTTATCAATGCTGAGTTTGGGTCTCCCTCCCCGGAAGAGAGTCGCTTCATCCTATCGCTGAATAATACTGGAGAGAGCAGCAAAACACCTACTGACTGGAACTGTAGCCGCACTTTACTGAGGCAATCAATAGTCACTAGCATAACTTTGGCCAAGTTCATTTATTCATTACTTTATGCAACAAATATTTATTGAGCACCTACTATGTTCCATACACTGCTCTAGGCACTGAAGAAACAGAAGTGAGCCAAGAAGACAAACTATCCCGTCCTGATGGAGCTGACATTTGACGGCAGTAGACTTACAGTAAAATGAGTAAAATAAGAATGCTAGCTGTTCCTTAACCTGCAGTTTTAGTCTCATCAGCAAATTGGAGATAAATGTGTTATCTAACAATAAACTTAGACTTGCTTTTGTATGGCCTGTTATCTAAGAATGGTTGATAATTTTAAGGGGTGGTAAAGAGGAAGAGGAATAACCAACAAAACTCATAGGTGACCTGGAAAACTAAATATATACTATTTGGCTAAGGAGAAATGTAATAATTCACAGAAAAGTGTGGTGTGCCTGTCCCATAGCAAGCTGTCAATAATAGTAGCTTCTATTATCGTTGGTATTTGGTTTTACTATTATCTTCTTGTCACAATTTGTTTTTAGAATAAGAATAGCATAAGAGTAGATAACCTAAAGTAATTTACAGGATGCTATAAGATAAACGCAATGAGGTGAGTTTAATCAGTGTGAAGGAGAGAAGAGACGTGGCCCTGATGCTAAGGAATATTTATTGTATGTGCTATCTGTGTCAACCACACAAAAGAAGTCAAGAGGCTTTGATTACAAATAAATGACAAAGACTTATTCAAGGATCTTAAGACTTGCAAATCATAAACACTACCAGAATGTTACAAAGAAAAGAGAAACCAGGAGGTCATGGTTTGGGATGGCAGAGCATATGCCAGGGTTGCAGGCTCAGTGGTCATCGATCTTATGCTCTCTCATTGGTGTTTCTCTTTGGAAGGTGTCAGTTGTCTCTAAAAAAAAATCAATAAAAAATATTTTTTTTAAAGTTTATGTCCTCAAGCTCAAGCTTGTCAAAGTAAAATAAATTACATTCCTCATGGTTCAGCCCATTTGGTGTGAACCAGTTTTGTCAGCATAACTGCACTGACTTGATCTTGTTTGGTTCACCGATTTCTCATATGTAAACACAATTGTGAGCTCCGTTCAGCAGATATTGGACACCTCTTATGGGTCTGGTACTGTTTGACTTTGGGTACTCTGGTAAGCAGCCATTGTGGTTTTTCAATTAATGAATAAGAGGGGTTCAATAAACCTGGAACAAGAGACAAGATTAAGTTGCACAAAGTTTCTGAAAGAATTGGAAGTCCTGGAAGAAATCGATGTGTCTTTCTCATATCTCTGTTTCTCTTGGTCTCTCCCCTTCCAATAATTCTCAGAAGTTCTGGGTTTGGTCCACCTCTCCATTTTTATAAATGTGTGGTATGGGTATAACCACATAATCTCCATACATTCCACAGTTAGAGCCTCTGGGTACCATCTCGGTGCTCCTGCATCCTATTTTGGATGGGAGACTCACAAATCTTCTGGACTCAACTCATTTAGAAAATGATTAGGCCAGCATTCTTCAACAGCTGTTGTTGCAGGCATCTGAAAAGCTGAGAAGGCAGAGGGTAAGCTTTCTGGGTTCATCAAATAATTTCACCCAGCTATGTAGTCTAGTTGTGGACAGCTCAGATAAATGAGTAGATGTAAATTGACTTGGTTCTTCATTGAATTAAGGAGCTATATTCAGTGTCTTAAGTTGGAACTCAAAGAATGAACTTTGTCGAAATCGGTTTGGCTCAGTGGCCTGCAGACTGAAAGGTCCCAGGTTCGATTCCGGTCAGGGGCAAATACCTTGGTATGGGGTGTTCAAGAGGCACCTGATCCATGATTCTCTCTCATTGATGTTTCTCTCTATCCCTCTTTCTTTCTCTCTGTAAAAAAAAAAAAAAAAAAAAAAAAAATCAATAAAATATATATATATATTTTTTAAAAGAATGAACTTTATACTTGCATACTGTGGTCAACTCTGTGTATTCATAACCCAAAATTCAAATGGCTAGCTTCAAAAAAACATGACACTCATGTGTGGAATAAGCCATAGGTAACATAACCTAGTTTGGAGTTCAGATATAATAATGGTTTTAGACTGGGGGTGATGTGCCTCTTCCATGGAACAATTGGCAATGTCTGGAGGTTTTGTGTGTGTGTGTGTGTGTGTGTGTGTGTGTGTGTGTGTGTGTGTGTGTATTTTGGGGAGGGGGGGTGGTGAGTGCTACTGGCAACCAGTAGGTAGAAAGGCTAATGTGGATGAAAGGAGCCACATGCTAACCTGACAAGCTCAGGGGAGGCCTGTGTGGCAGTCTTGCAAACTCAGAGACCTAAAATAACCACAAAAGATGGTTTGAAAATTAAATATCTAACTACAAACAGGTTATAGTGGGTAGTCATGTCCTAGGCCGATATTTTCCCTGACAAAGATCAGCTTAGATCTTCTTTACTGAGCCCATTTGCCCTTTTTCCTCTACGATAACTATCTGTGAGATGTCTGATTAACTTCTCTTTTTCTGGAGCCCCTGGGGCACAACCTAACTGGTGGGTGCCAGGATGGGTGCCTCAAATTCCTTCATTATGTTAATTGTTCCTGCACCCACCTAAGTATGTGTCCATCATTTTACTTTTTATCCAATCCCAGGGATTTCCCACTGCTTTGCTTTCTCCCACCTCCTTAATCCATCACCAACGAGTTTCATGTAACCCACCTATGCAATGTATAAATAGAAATGTAACCCGCCATTCTTCAAAGCATTATCTCAATTCATTGAGGTTTTGCTTCCCGGCATAGGTCGACAGTTTAGCTCAGATAAACTCACAAAAATTCTTTACAGATTTCAATGTTTTGTTTTTCGTTTTTTTTCCGTTAACACTATGGATGCTGCTCAACCTTACAAAGCACAGGACAACCCCCACAGAAAGAATGATCTCCTTCAAAAACGCCCTTCCTTGAGAAACCATGAGAACGAACAATCTCTAGGCCATACAACTCTTTAATGCCACTTCTCTAAGGTTTGTAGTTCCCCCTTCAAAGCAGTTTGGAGGTGCCCACTTCCAAAATGGCTTCTGACCAACCACAGGAGCCTCTGCGCGGTCCCGGAAGGCGGCCAGGGGAGTCAATAAACGGAATGGTCCGGCCCACGGTCTGTTGCCACCCCCCGAGCGCGGAGTCGTTGGAAGGAGCCGGTTGTGGGCCGAACCATTTGCGGTTGCTGGAGCGGGGGGGAGGGCTGGTGACGGGCAGGCTGAGTTTTTTATTTCCAGATCCTGAGCCAAGAGGGAGGGTTTGAAATCTCCTGAGGAATGTATCCGTGTCTTCCAGCGCGGATCTGGACATGGGGGGGGAGCGGTGGGCCCCAGGCCGGGGTGCTGGCCTCTCTCCCTGGCCTCGCCCCCCCGCCGCGGTGAGCAGTGGTTCGCTCCCGGCACTTCCCGGTTCGGGGCCGTTCAGTCCGCAGAAGTCGGTTCGGAGCTGTCAGCGCGGCGGCGGCGGCGGCGCGGCGGGGCGCGGGGTGGGCGCGGCTGAGCGGGTCCCCGACCCGACCCCGACCTCCCGCGCTCCCCGCCCCTGGCCCGCGGGCCCTCCGCCGCGCCCCGCGCCCTCACTCGCGCGCCTTCTCTCGAGCTCGCCGGCCGCCGGGCGGGCGGCGCCGGAGACCCCGCGGGGGCTGAGGCTGGGCGGCGGGCGGCGCGGCCCGGCGGCGGCCTCTTCGCCATGTCGGCGGCCCGCGACGCCAGCGGCCACTTCCCCCTGCACCTCCTCGTGTGGAACAACGACTACCGGCAGCTGGAGCGGGAGCTGCGGGACCAGGTGAGGGCGAGGCGGGGTCGGCGGGGGAGGCGGAGGGGGAGCTCCGAGGTCGTTTAGCCCGCGGAGCCGTCCCCGTCCTCCGCGCCCGGGACCCGCAGGCGCGTCCGTCCTCCGGGCGTGGGGCGGGAATCGTCGCAGGACGTTGAGCGCCTACTGTGTGCCAGGCGCGGTGCCGAGGGCTTGGTGACAAGAACTCTTTTTGACTTTGCAACAGTCCAAGGAGGTAGGTGCTATTATTGTTACGGTGGAAAGAAAGGGAAACTGAGGCGCCCAGAGGTGATGCGCTTTGCTCAAGGTCGCCCACCTACTACCCATCAGTCGGGGTTCTCTGTGTGGGCACCGCGCCGTCCCACCCAAGTAGGCTCTTCCCCAAGGGGCGAGAACAGTACCCGCTCCGCGCCCGCCCGCCCTTTTTGTAAGGAAGGGCTCGGTGGGGTTTGGAGTCCAGGTGGCAACCCGCCCTGTGACCTTGGGCAAGGCGTTTTCCCTCCTGGCCCAGGGAGACTGATGCCTACCCACGTTTGAGAATCACTGGTGCCCGGGATCCTTAAAATCCCTTCGTGTTCCAAAGTACATCGATTCCTGGTCTTGTATGTATCACCTTCTCTTTAAAGCAGTGCTGCTCATCTCAGCACCTCCGGCATGGCTCAGTGGTGGAGCATGGACCTATGAACCAGGAGGTCACTGGTTCGATTCCCGGTCAGGGCACATGCCCGGGTTGCGGGCTCAGTCTCTGATCCCTAGTGTTGGGGTGTTTAGGAGGCAGCTGATCAATGACTTTCTCATCACTGATATTTCTGTCTCTCCCTCTTCCTTCCTCTCTGAAATAAAAAAATATCTATTAAAAAGTAAGTAAAGCAGTGGTTCTCAGTTGGAAGTGGTTTTGGCCCCCACCGCTCCAGATGCATTCAGACAGTTTTGGTTGTTACACGTGGGGAGTGGGTGCTCCTGGGATCTAGTGGGAGAGGCCAGGGATGCAGCTCAGCATCCTGCAGTGCACAAGATAGCGCGCACCCCCTCCCCCCCCCATCAAGAATATCAGGCCCCAAATGTCAGTAGTGTTTTGCTTGAGAAGCCCTGCTGAGGCATCTGCAGTTCTGGGAGTCGTGGGTGCCTTCAGCTAATAAACTTAGCCATTAGAATAAGAATTTGTCGTTGTTTGGTATAATTGTTCTTGTTGAATCATTTTATCCAGTGTACTAACGTCCTGGTTTTCGAATTGACACTATAATTGTCCAGGAGTTTTAGGTTGAAGGAGCATTGAGCAGTCAGCGTTACCTCGTTTGGTAAATGGTGACTGCTAAGCTGTTCTTGCACCTGCCATATTTCTTTCAAAATTGTTGCGCACCCACTGGAAGTCAAAGTGGCTTTTTTTTTTTTTTTTATGTAAATCCTCCATCCAATGAAAATAAACCTTTATTGTAAGTCCTTGGTGTTAATTAGATCATGCCCCCAGAGTAAATGACTCACCACGAGGCATCCTAGTGTACCTGATGACTTAATTTCTTTTCTGTACAGAGAGAGGCCGCCATCATTTTGCTCTTAACTCTAAGTCTCACCATGGACACTTTAAAAACAACTGGGAAGTTCTGTTTTTAGGTCAGCTGCATTTTGTATCCTCAGTATCGGGCTGTCCAACTCCTTGTGAAATATCAAGATAAAGTATAAAGTCACAGAACTAACAACCCCTTTGATAGAGAGATTCATCACACTCTTTCAATACCGATTTCTGAAAACAGCTCACTTTCTAGCCTTTGGAGAGGAAGAAAAGAGTTTAAATAAACTGGGATTTTTCTTTTTATATATATATATATTTTTTTTATTGATTTTACACAGAGAGGAATTGAGAGGGATAGAGAGTTAGAAACGTCGATGAGAGAGAGTCATCGACCAGCTGTCTCTTGCACACCCCCCACTGGGGATGTGCCCACAACCAAGGTACATGCTCCCGACTGGAATCGAACCTGGGACCTTTCAGTCTGCAGGCCGATGCCCCATCCACTGAGCCAAACCGGTCCCGGCAAACTGGGGTTTTTCTTGATAGAAAAACTTGTTTGATAAGAGCAGTCTTGATTTATAATCTGTAATGTGTCATAGTTGAATTATTTCTTTTTCCAGAAAGCTGTGACAAAGGTGTTCACTGAAAGTTCTCTGACTTGAAAAACCCAAGGACACTTGTGATTAGAAAATTATAATTTTGCAGCAGATTTTCCTGGAATAACTTGTTCCTTAATGCCTTCAGCTGTCAAGGAGGTCTCAGGAAACTGTTCATACTTGCTAGTTATTTGGTTTTGACTTTGTTATTGGTTATCACTGTAGATCATTTCACAGTATACCTGTTCTCTTTGGGGAGGAGAAAGGTCAAATGTAATCATAAAGAACATCTTGAACCCATCCAGTGTGACTCGGGGGATTGAGCATCTGTGCACCAAGAGGTTGCTGGTTCGATTCCTGCTCAAGGTTTTGAGCTTGATCTCCTGTAGGAGTATCGATATTTTTCTCTCTCCCTCTCCCTTCTCTCTCTAACTCAATAAAAACATTTTTTAAAAATATTTATTGATTTTTTTACAGAGAGGAAGGGAGAGGGATAAGAGAGCTAGAAACATAGATGAGAAACATCGATCAGCCGCCTCCTGCACACCCCCTATTGGGGATGTTCCAACAACCAAGGTACATGCCCCTGACCAGAATCAAACCTGGGACCCTTGAGTCTGCAGGCCGACGCTTTATCTACTGAGCCAAACCGGTTTTGGCAATAAAAACATTTTTATTTTTTTTAAAAAAGGACATCTTGATCATGGAAACTTTACTGTCATGACCACAAAACCCAATTTTAATTCTGAAAGTTGGCCATTGAAAGTGTTGAGTTGATCTAGCTTCAAAGGCTACCTTGTGCTCAGAAGAGGCTCAGGATTGGTTTAATACTCTGATGTTACCATCCTGAAATTCATAATTATTTTTTTAATAAAGTTTCTTGCATTTTTATTTTTCACTGGTCCCTGCAAATTATGTAACTGGTTCAGGTGATCATTGATATCATTAAAATTCAAGGCAGGAAATATTTTATTGCTTTCATAGTTATTGAGATCCTCTGTTAATTATGAACCAGCTACCTATTTCTGACTCGGAGGCAGCTGAATTAATGGCCAGTTCTAATGCTGATTTCAGTTGTGAGAATGGGTAAGTTATTTGCTCTTGCTGAATTGTTTTATCGCCTGTAAAACTGCACATAAAACATTTCAGCGCAGCCCAGAGGTTTGATTACTGTCAGGGCACATGCCTGGGTTGCAGGCTCAATCCCCAGTAGGTGCTGTACAGTTTTACATTTATTTCTAGACACCAGTCTTTTGGGGTGGGTGCTGTTGTGATTCCTATTTTACAGATTAGGAAACTGAGGAGGAGAGGCACTGGTGTATGCTTAGCCAGTGGCCAAACCAGGATATAAACCCAGAAAGTCAGACTCTGCCCTAATCCTGTATTCTTAACCTTTATGCTATACTTATTTGATTAAAAGTACCTTCATATCAGGATTGTGGAAATAAGGCAGAGAACCCATCTGAAAATGCAGGCATATAGTGAATGGGTATAATACCATTTGCCATAGTTGCTGCTGCTGTTATGATGATCATCCTGGGTATTCTACTTTTTTGTGTATATTCCAGTTTTTCTAAAGGAACACATACTGGTTGCATAATTTAAAACAAAAAATTCCTACTACCCCAGCAATAAAACCAGCTGTTTCACTTAATGTTTTATTTGCCAGTAAGTTTCTGCTATCCATTTCTTCATTCCTTCCATTCCATGAGTGAGACTTGAAGCAGGCACACTGGTAAGAATTTAATTTTGTCCTATGAACAGCAGAACAGGAAGAATCAAGTTTATCCAGATGAAGCTGATAAGTATGTGCTTCTGCGTGGGTGTTAGCCCCCGACCCGATAACTTGCTACTAGCTGGAGTTGGCTGTTTAGTAACTAACTTTGTCAACTGTGAGATTGTTTCAGGCTTTTTTTTAAAAAAATTTTTTATTGATTTTCCACAGAGAGGAAGGGAGAGGGATAGAGAGATAGAAACATCGATGAGACAGAAACATCAACCAGCTGCCTCCTGCACACCCCCTATTGGGGATGTGCCTGCAACCAAGGTAACATGCCCTTGACCGGAATTGAACCTGGGGCCTTTCAGTCCACAGACCGACGCTCTATCCACTGAGCCAAACCAGTTTCGGCTGTTTCAGGCTTTTAACATTTGCTCAGCAAAGGCACAGTATTAAGTGCCTTCCTTTCAGGCACTTTATTAAGTGCCTCTTAACCCATCAGCTTTGCTGTCTTTAATATTCAGTGGGGCCTTCAAGTTGGTTGGTGCAGTGGAAATGATTTGTGTTATGGTTATGCCATTTATCATTTAGCAAGAGAGGTCTGTTACATATCCTTGGTCTTCTTACGGATGCTGGGAGAATGAATAAAAACTTACAGACACAGGGAGAGTGAGTGAATGGAAGGGGACAAATTCAAAGGCCAGTGAGTGCACCTTAGACAGGGAAGGGGAGACCCTGGGCCTGCGTGGATAGATGGTAGCAGATGAGGCTGACAAGGGCCAGCCCCGTTCAGGCAGCAGCAGGTGAAAGCACAAAATTCAGGCAAGAGGAAGAGCGCTGTCTAGGCAGCAGAGCTTGACCGGGAACCACCCTGAGGTGTCCACCCCCGCCTGTGGCAAGGCTGCGTGAGGCCACTGGGCACACACTCAAGTCAGTGCCTGCTGGCCGGAAGCCTTCTCAGAGCCGGCCAGACATCCCAAGATAAAGGGCCTAGAGCTTACTCGGTGCTCCCCCTGGGCCCTCAGGAACTCGGGCTCACCTTAGAGAACCAGGCCAGTGGGTACCTTTCCCCCCTGGACTTGGCATGAGGAACCAGCTCTGGCCACAGAGGACCAGGCAGCCTGAGACTGCCCACGAGGGAAGGTGGTTGCCCGAGGTGCCCCGCAAGAGGGAACAGTGATCGTTT